TATTATATTATATTCTATCCTATTTGCTTTCCATCCATTTTATTTTATCCCATATAAACCGTTTCAAACTGATTATTCACCTTTTTTTAAAACTCCAACCTTAATTGAAGTAAGTTTATAGCTAAATTGAAGATGATCTTTTGAATGAATAAGCACTTAACAGAACTTCAGCAGTATTAATATTAATACAATTTACGAGAATAATGTAAATTAAAAAAAATTAAGTGATATTTTCATAACGAATTGACAGAATATACGAGGGGGTTGGGCCGCGGAGCGGCCAGGGGGCGGAGCCCTCTAGTATTTTAAAAAAATAGTGTGAAAATTACTAGATTCGCTCGTGCAAAATTCTCGGAGGGGCCAAATTTTTTTTCAAAAAGTGGTGAATTGACGAAAAAATCCTCATCGGCGTCTTAAACCGAGATATGTGGTCTCACATCTTAACGCGCCGAATGCTTCGATCAGAATTCGATTACTCCGTTGTCAAACAGGTTTTTCTAATTGTTTATTTTTTATTATAATCTTTCTCAGCAGTCCATTTTTTCCGATTGCATAAGTATAACTGCGTGGTCAAATTTCAATAAGTGTAAATGCTTCCATAGTGAGGAGGAATGTCTTAAGAGCAATCGAATATCGCAAAATTTCTTCTTAGTAAATATTTATCTTTGAAACAACTTATAAGAGAACCTTCTTCCTTGAAATTTTCAGAAACTTCGGATCAAACCGCGAACAAGATTTCCTGAAAAATTGAAAGAACGGTTTTCCCGAAAATTCGTGTTTTGTCGATGAAAATCTGGCAACGTCTGAAGGCTCATACGTGGTTCTTCGCAGCCTTCGCTCCTCCATTCCGATTTACAGGGTGATCCAGAAGTACCGCATCTTGTATCTATAACGCCTAAATTTCTTGTCCCTTTTCAGAATGGTCCCCCTAAAATTTTGGGAGCTCTCAAAAGTCATTTCCTTTGACCTGGCATCACTTTACTTGTTGTCTAGTGCCCTTCTCAATTTTTTCAAAAGTAACAGGGATGATGCCTGGTGCTGATAGTGCGGGCCTTATGGATCACCCTAAATATTTGTCCCAATGGTTAAAGTGTAAAAGCAAGTATCTCCATTGCGGTGTTTCAAAATCTCTGCCCCTATTTTATTTTTTCGAATAGAAACAAGTCAACTATATAGCTTGAAATTTTTACAGAATATTCTGTTAGTAAAGAAGAAAAATCCAGGAAGTTTTCAAGAAACTGTGTTGACCAGTTTGCCAAAGAAAAATTAAACAATGACAGGAAATCTGCAACGTCGCAAACGGAGATACGTGGTTTTGCACTTTAGCTAGGCATCGATAATCGATTTAATCATAAAATTGCATCCACAAGTCTTACCGATGCCTTTCCCGAACTTGGTGGCCAATAGGAGCCCGAGATCGCAGTCCGACAAGCACAGGAAAACGGCGTACAGAAACAGGTACGAAACATAACCTAAACCGATCCACTCGAAGACACCCATGTTCGAAGGGCGCTGGTACCTAACACAATTTTTGTTTCGCTGCACAGTTTACGCACGCACTGGTGCATTCACATCGCACTGGCGGACTCGACAACGGCACCGGACTGCCGCAATTCGACATTCGTAGAGCCGAAACTGGTTTGATGATAAAACGAATTCAAGGTGCTGACGACTTGACATTGAACTTGGGCGAGGACTCGAGGAGCGGACTCGACCGGGCCGGCGCAGAGCGGTGAGCAGTCTATTCGCGTCTCCAGCTCCAGAAACCGAACGGGGGAGATGACCGAAAATGAGGGGGAAGGGCGGGGGGTCGTGCGTCGCGACTTCAGCGCTTACGGTTCGTTTACGGTTGCCACATGGTGCTGAAATCAGCATTTATGGCTGTCACGGGAGAGGGGGCCGGGGCATTAACTACCGCCCAAGTAGCAAGTAGCACTGATTGCAATAAGTAGAATTTGTACGGTAAAAATATTGAAATTCCACTGAGTGTTGTGTTTGTTGCCTAGCTCTTATTTGAAGGGGCCCATTTATCGAAACTTATTGCAGTAAAATCAAATGGAATTGCGATTTTTTTTTTTTTTTTTTTTTTTTTTTTTACAATTTTATTGAAATCAAATTGCGATTTAATTTCAACATTTTCGTTTCACTATGTGCCACTTGGGCGGGGGAAAATTTTTCAAAGGAGCGATTTTTCTTGAGACGCGTCGAAAGATCGAATTTTGAAATTTTGACAGAAAACGCTCCTGAGTGTTCTGAAGAATAAGTTATGAGTAGTTTAACACATTTTTTTTTTTTTTTTTTGCTAAATGAGTGAGTAGAGGACGTGAAGTTGTATTGTGCCAGCAGTTTTGTAGCCTGAGTGAGGAATATGACGAAAAATGTCACTTCCCAATAAAGGAGGGGGAGATATCCCGCTGGAAGGGTGGCAATGTCAACATGTCGAGGAACGAATCCCCCGAACGATCCAACTATCAACGCGAGGGATAACCCTTCAGGTCCCTCTTAACGCGAGAGAAGAGGAGGGGAAGTCCGTTAGGTCTTAATACGACCGATCAATGCCAAAGGACCAAAAAATTAAATATTGAGTCATTGATAAGGCGGTTCGAAGTTATCGGTCATCAGCACGCGCGTATTTTGAAAATAAGCTGTTTTTAACCTGCCATGCCCAATTGGAATTGCCCATGGCATCGAATCGCCAGTTTTTACTCCGCGCGATACTTCACGCCCTCCATTGGCAAAAAATGTGGCTCTACCATTCGCAACTTACTTATTCTTTAGGACACCAGCGACAGCTCTTCGTTGAAATCTCAAAATCTGATTGGTCGAAATCGGCAGAAATCGCTCACCTCATTCCACTGGAAAAACCTCCATTTTCGTAGAGGTAGGTCACTTTACCCGTGACGAATCCTATTTTACCTTACAATGTGACAGCCTTGCTTTCGTCGCAGGTTTTTTCTCTCTTTTCTTCAACGCGTCCGGTCATTGGCCAATTACACGCTGTGCGTGCACAATGCGCAGAATAAGTCCTCCTGCCGCGTTGGCGCCTTCATTTTGAAGGTATAGGCAAACCCAATGCCAATTAAAATGTCCATACATTTGCACCATCCGAGATTTCTCATTGAGTTTTATGATTCAATGACGCAATTAAACGATCGATGTACGATGAAAGCTCTTGAGAACTTGTTTATTCTCCATATTATTGCGGCGACTCAAAAGCTCGAAAAAGGTAAATATCGAAGATCAGCGGGTAGGTAGAGAAATGCAACGTAAAGATGTATCAAAAACCGTAGGGGTTAACGCCTCAGCAACTTAATTGAATTTCCCAACGTCACAAAGTTTCACTTGGATAGCTAAGGTCAGAAAATGCGCATCACCGTCGGAACATTTTGAAAATCTCCGATTATATTTCATTTTATAAACGATAAAACCGAAATATCTCCTCGATTTCTTGTGAATATTTTTGAAATAGTGAAGAGAACTCACACAAGTTTCAAAGGAAATGTTGGCGAGTAGATTTCTTCGGTGAAAATAAAACGTGAGTGACAATTGGCAATATCGCAATCGGAGATACGCATTTTCTGCGAATTGCTGTAGATATATCGATGGCCACATTGCGAAATTACGTACCTCCAGTGGGGTTTTTCAAAATGTATGCTCCTTTTTTATTAAGTATTTCGAAGAAAAACAAACCGACTTTATAACATGAAAATACAGAATTTTCCTACTTAATGGCCTGAAATTTATAGAGAATATTTTGCCGATAGAAAAGCACAATCGAGGAATTTTTCAAGATCTTACATTGTCTAGTTTTCCAAAGAAAAAAGTCTACAACGGTGTAAACCGATATACATGGTTTAGCACTTTGTCTATCGATATGAGACAGTATAGTTTTTTTTTTTGTTATGCAGATACCTATGCGTTTTTATCTAATTGAACCAGGAAAAATGTAAATCACATGTAGTGGGAAGTTTGCGGTGCCGCAAAGCGAGGTAAGTACGTGTTTTTCTCGTTTCACAATCGACATGTAGCGATTTAGCATCAGAATTCAGAATTCTTTCGATGTGGGCGACGATTTTCCGCTAGAATGTATAATGAATCAAAAGCTAAACGGACGGCTCTTTTTAAGAGCGTCCCGTGGCTTTTCTCTCTTTTTCTAATTCCATTTTACTATCGTAGGTAACAATATTGACCCGCACTATTGGGATAGACTATCGAAAGCTAAATTTTAATGAGAAGATGACGTGAAAAAGGAATGAAAAAAATATCCAATACGATAAAATCTTTAAATATTGCGGCAGCTTTGTTTTTTAAGAGAATTTCTGGACGAGCCGTCCAACTTGAGAGGCTTTTAGTAACTTGAGAGATTTTTTTTCTACGCGTAAGCATTCGGTCCTTACTAAGCTGACTGTGGGTTGATGGGCATTTCTGACTGGACTTTTTCCAGTCCTCCGCGACACCAAATATGTTGGAATGCGCGTGATTGAAAAATGTTACCGGAAGTGTTCACTCAACGATTTTGCTGCATTTGTCGTTCTTAGGTCAGTAAAGGGCCGCAACTCGTCAATCGATCGACAAAACCAGTGAGCAGGGCCGGATTTACTCACTTGCCGCCAATGGGCCGCCTGTATTTAACCGCCCCCTTCTCATTCGTTTTGAAACATCCATAAAAACCATCAAGTGAACGTGCCGGAGGGGGAGGAGTGCATAAGACACGTTTACTCGTGTTGGACACATTTTTTGCGAAAGCCCTGTCAACACTAGCAAAAGTTCACGGAACTTGGCGCGAAAGTTAAGTTCCGTAAACCTATCTCTGTGTGGACAAGGCCTTCCATTTGTATGAAATGAACGAAAAAATTATAAAAGAACAAACAGAAATGTGGTTTAATAATTTGAACCTCCGCCGCCGCGCCGCGCTGACCGGACTGTGTTCGGCGCAATGCTTGAAGTATTCCTACAGTCTTGTAGGCGCTATGCGTTTCGCGCCGACCGCTGCTGCACGCACTGTGCTTCACGCAATGCGTGTAGTATTCATGCAGTCTTGTAGGCGCTATGCGTTTCACGCCGCACGCCACTGATCGCAGCGACCACGCACTGTCTTTGACGCAATGCGTGAAGTATTCATGCAGTGTCTTGTAGGCGCTAATATGTGTTACATGCCGACCGTCGCGCCGCGCCGAGGGTTTCTCCTTTTCGTCTCAAGTTCTCGTCATCATTGCTCTCTACGCCGCGCCGTTCCAGGCCAGATTCCGTGTTTGGTTTCTCTCTTAGTCTTAACTCGACTAATTAAAGCTGCTGTATATATCACAGAAAGACGTCAAAATGGACCACTAGACAAGGTACGAATTAAGCAATCTGATACATGTTTCTTAACCAGAATTTTACGTAAAACACGATTCTTACAACGAAAATTACTGAAACCAACTTTTAACGAAGATATGAACGTTTTTATTACACATTGGTTACGAGGAATTTGAACTGCCCGCTCCCAAGAAACTCAAAGCTCTACGTGAGTCAAATCGCACACTACAACGGTTTCAGCGATCTTCTCAATCGAGCAATGTTCATTTCCCACCATGTGTTGTTCAAACTATAAGCAATTTGCTATAGCTGAGCCAAAAGGTCAAGATTGATCGAGGTTGCCAGATTTTTATATCGCAGAGACTGTCATGATAACGTTTAGCGGTCAATGTGAATCACGTAGAGCATTGAGTTTTCATGAGCGGGTGGTTTGAATTCACGCATTAAGAATCATTAAATATCTTCGTAAGGTATTGATTTCGGTAATTTTCGTTGTAAGAATCGTGTTTTACGTAAAAATTTGGTTTAGAAACATGTATCAGAATGCTGAAATTCGTACCTTGTCTAGTGGTCCATTAGAGATATACTCTAAGGAAATGGACGTCAAAATTAGAGATATACTCTAAGGGAATGAGAGATTTTGTCACCTTTTCTCGTTTGTAATTCTTTTTTCTGAATCCGATTTTTCTTTATAGCTACATTTAAAAAAATTGCAACATTTGCCGCCCCCTAAATTTGCCGCCATGGGCCGCGGCCACCCCCTAAATTTGCCGCCATGGGCCGCGGCCACCCCCTAAATCCTCGAACCCGTGAGTCCCTCTTGGCCCGTGAGTCGACCGACAAACCCTAAGAATCGATCGGCAATCCCATGAATCGATGAAGAAAATCCGTGAGCCGATTGACAGCTCCATAAATCGATCGGAATGCCCCCTCCCCCCTCTCCAAAAAAATCCTCATTTATTTTCGGATATAAGTCCCTTATCCTCATCCGCCTCTCTGTATCTCCCGCTTTTCCCGCCCCACTTCCCCTCCGGCGCCAAGGGTCTCCAAAAAACTTCACATGAGGCCCAAAATACTAAAAGAGAAAGAAAAACATCCACGATACCATCGAATCGAATCGGAGGACCATATATTCCTCCAGCAAGTGATAAGTTAAAATAGAAGCTCAGGTACTATCTAACTCCTACTAACGAGAAAAAATCAGAGCGGCCCTACGCCAAGGGCAAGCCCTAGCGTTATAGGCCAAAACCAAAAATCAGATTTAAAAGGAACATGAAAAAAAAAGAGGAAAACATTCTTGTGACGGAGGACTCGTTGGCGTATGACCCTCCCTCCATTCATAGCAAGGTCTACGGGGTCATAGAATAAATAGACTAACGTTAGTCTATTTATTTTACGGCGGGGTTGCGCGTTACGCACGTTACGCCACTAGGGCAAAATCCTCGAAATACAGAGATGCCCTGGGTGCTTTAAAAGTCTACGCTAATCAGCAACTGATATCGAACAGTAAGAAAGTAAAGGGGTTTTGAGAATGGTTTTGAGTCGTCGCGTCGTCTAGTTTTGCGTTTTGTTTTACCCGCCAAAACTGAGATATAACAGTTTCGACCAATCAGTTAGTTGGAAACTCAGATTTGGTTTCTATTGGTTTCCGGCTATTGTATTAGATGATGTCACAATATGGCAACCAAACAAATACGATTCCGCTGCTTATTATCACTATTTTGAGTCGGCATGTTTTGTTTATATCAGTGTTTCTGTAAAAACTGAAATTTTGAACTTTTTTAACTATCTAGTTTTTTATTTAGCAAATATCTCTGTTTTAATACATTTTGTATTTAATTCTTTGCAGCAGTTTTCCTAACAAGCCTAATATCAGTAGCTGTATAATTGTATCTTCCAGCGCAGGAGTTTGTTTGGCATTAACCTTTCGAGTTAGTCAGTATGAAAGAGTTTCCACCACAATGGTCAATGTTATGAAAGGAATTTTAATCGAATGGTATGTATTTTCACTTATTCCTTCGAGACATTGTGACTAAATTTACTATATTTTCTTTTCAAGGAGAATCTAAAATTTCAATAAATGGAGACATTGCAATTATTCCGGAAGGTACAAAGCTGCAGTTTTTATTCAAACTTTACTTTTCCCCGAACGTAATCAACCAATGCATGTACTTTATCTATATAGTCTTCAATAAGTTTTCCCATTTGCTTATCTCTTCCTCTAGGGTGGCCGTTGCCTTCGAGAAGAGAAAGGCTGTAATTTATACCACTGTTGAACGTAGAGCACATAGAGTTGTAATGTAAGTGAGAAGGCTGGCGCATTTTCAGGGTCCCGAATTCCGAGACTCCTGTGTGACGCCGGGTCACTTTTTCGATACGTAATCGATCGTCTTTGATACGCAGGGACCTGGCCATCCAATGTAAACAAAGAAGATAGAAATTACTACGTATTCCACATCGCCATTTTGGATCGAATATGTGTCGAAAAAGTGGCCCAAGCTCGGCGCACACCGGGTTTGGAACTCTTCAACTAGAACATGGCGCCAGCTCTCCCATTTAAATTATGACTCTACACACTCTAGGCTGTTGAAGCACTGAGTTCAAGGAGAGACTTCCTGGTTGCAATTTCTCAGAATCCTCAATGACATTTTATACAGTATTCCCCTCTGAAGGCAATACAGATAAGATACACACGGCGATTAATTGCTGTGAGTGAAAGACGAAAGCCAATGGAGAGCCTTGATTTTGATATATCGACGTCAATGGATCAAAATCAAGGCTCTCCATTGGCTTTCGTCTTTCACTCGCGGCGTGTGTATCTAGACCTTAAGGAATGTGGATGTGAATAGTTGATGAAAATTGTAATAAACATTCTCTCTGGCCTCATAATGTTCTAAATGGTAAATTCTATAAATATTACCAATTCCTTCTCTCCGTGAAAAGAAAATAAAAAATGGATATTTTAAGACTTCACAATTCAAACAAGCCCCGCCTGCCCCTTGCGCTTCAATTGCGACTTGATGCCAGAAGGCACTCGCTAAATACAGTGAACTGGAATTATAGTGGCATCGTAATTCTCTTCATTCTTCCTGTTTTTTTCCTGTCATTCAGGACTTTCTATATTCCAATTTTCCAGCGATGGCACTTGTAATACTTTGGCTGGAAGGTGACGTTGTGTTGTACTTAGTTGTAGCATGTTTCGACTTCAGCATAAAAATGGTGACAGGAAGTCATACTTAACAGAATAAAATTTATTTTATTATTTACAACTTAACATAGCAAAGAAAATAATAATTCCATTAAGAATTACTCAAAAATTCCAATTTCCTTACTCTATTACAATTTGGAATAAAAATATCTGGAGTCGTAGTACTTGAGGAGAAAATCAAACATGAGTGAGGTACGCCCATTTTCAATCTAGATAATCCATTTCACTTGGAATGCCAAATTGTTTATCGAGAACTTGTCCATCAATACAGAACTTATTTTTGCACCAACTTTTCAGAGCAAATATGTTGTCTGTCCAACGATTGGCTGCTGTTTTAGCTTCCTGAAAGATGTAAAAAAGTTGACAGTAACGATGATTAGTGTATAAGATTGTCTGAATATGAAGGACACATGGGCAAGGTGTGCAACCAGACATGCCTCATCAATAACCTTCGGTAACCATAGCTTACTGCTGTAAAATATATGTATTAAAACATTTGGTCTTATGGCACTCTTCCATGAGGAAAAAACCTCATTGGCTCGAAAAGTTTATAGAATAATCTGGTGCTACATTGGCACTCAGTCATGATTGGAACTTGGTTTCTTGGAGAAGTAGTAAAATTCTGAGATAGTAACTCTCAGGCATATACCCTAAGATAATTATCTCTGTCAATACTGTATTTCAACCTCAGAAATGTAATAAAAATGTTAATCGGAATAGAGACAACAGGTGAGCGATTAATATTAATTGGTCGTAAGGTATTATCTTGAGAACAAAGTTTACTACACTTGAAAGGAGAGGGTTTAAAATCGGTCACTCACTTTGATTTGTGCTTTCATTTGCTCAATGACTTCAGGATCGGAATCTTGATAAGACTGGATTTTTTTCTTCAGTTCAGTCTCTCTACTTTTCAAATTGCTCAGTTTTTCTAAAATTTCTGTTCGGTGAGTTGTGTCTTCTCTGCCACACTATAGGAACAATATGAACAGTCAAATCATTATCATTAATGAATAAAAATCTGATTAAGTGAACAATTAACTAATTCTTCTAGGATCAGATATATACTTAGGTACATCCTCCTCAAAATGGTGAAAGCTTGTTCATTTTTTCTTTTATTATTAAAAATAACAGAAAATGGTTTTTAGACTTCAATTTCCTTGGGTGTTCATTTTAAAAGGAATTCTCGTTGGAGTGAAAAATTACTTTTCTTTACTTTTTTTGTTTGTTCGTTTTTATTTATAAAAATGGTGTCTTATAAATGGATTTTTAAATAAGTTTAGTAAGACAAATGAGTAAACTTAAATGGAAGTTTAAAGAATATTCATTGTGAGGAAAGAATGAAAAATCGTAGCTCAGCAGAGAGGTATTTGAGACAGATCCTGTAACTTTCAAAATACTGTTGCTATTGGAAGTGACCCACCTCATCTGACTTACTAAAGACCTCGAAGTATGAGGCTGTCAAATTCTTAACATCGAATTGCTTCATGTACGACTTAACTTACCTTGCTAGCTATCAGATTTTCTCGAACTCTCTTGAGTGTTTTGTTGCGTTCTTCCAACTTTCCGGACAGTTCATCAATTTTTCTCTTTCGGGTGTGCTTAGCTTTACTAAAAATTAAACAAATAATTACAATTTCAGGGATCTATGTACTACAATGATAATCCACAGCTCTAAACAATAACATCAATATCTATTTTACAAGCTCCTCTTAGATGAAAAAATTAATTCTACCTTTGACTGTCCCTCACACACAAATTACTTTGAATTTCTTAATTTTTCACTTTTGATTTTGGATGTCAGGAGGCAGATGCATGTCTTGTCGAAGTTTCAGGCAAGATGTTTCTAAAGTTTCTTCTAACGTTCCAGAGTATTCTTGTTGTTATATTTGCACCTAGTGACTCACAGAATGCAGAAATACAAGTTAACTTTGAAGATATACTTACTTTGGAAATGCCCAGAAATAAACGGATGTTCCTATTTTATCAGTGTCTACCAGTCCGTCATCAACTAAATTTTGAACAACATCTTTGACTGATTGTGCTATGATTCCTTTCTCTTTTGGCGCTATTTTTTCGAGCTCCTGGTGAAGTAGAGAATATTAACAGTAATAATTAGTCAAAATGAAATAGGCATTCATCGAAAAAACGAGATGAAAGAAACAAGACTATGAAAATTATTATTTACAGAGAGAAGAAAATGTATCTTTACTCTATGAGAACCCTACTGCCACATAGCAATTAGTTATGCCACATCTAAGAAGGGTACTAAATTTTTAACTTTCTGTATGATTGCATTCCCATGATAATTATTATTAGTAGTCAGTAGAATAGGTACATAGAGACTTCCATTCATAGGCTCTTCGTGCCTTTTAAATTGAAGACTTTTCGAATACATTTACAGAGGATGTAACGTTTTTGATCTTTTCGTTTTCATTTCTCATGAACAAGCCTGCTGGGAGAGAAAGTAGCCAGAATTTTTCTCCTTTTGTTTGAAAATGATGACTCCCGGAGATCAAAGTTTGTTCAATAATCCAAAATTGTTGGTCATAAGACCAACACAGTCGATATTACTTTTACATTGGTTGTTTGGTGCTTCTTTAAAAAAAAATAAATAGAAAAATATTACCTTCAATTGGAAAAAATCTTGTTTTTCGTAGAACAGTTGAAGCATTCGAGTCCTCTTTTCCTCCGCACTCACTCCTTTACGCTTTGCAGACATGGTGAGATTGTGCCTCTGAAATCAATTATACCAAATCAATTATTAACTGCTCATTGAGGGGTGCTAAAAATGTTCAATTTTGTGTTTCACGGATCACGGCAAATGTGAAGCAAATCAGTTTTCATGAGTAGTGGTTTTTTTTTTTTTGCTCATTACTGGAAAGAAATTGATCAAATGGTATAATTGATGGTGATTAATTGGTAAATCAATGTGAAATCTGGAATTTTGTCACAAAATCGGACTTTCTCCGGTTGGTCGACCAAAATTCGCTCATTGGGCATAAACACCAGACCAAGATGAATTATTAACATTTTGAAACTTTTTGTACACTCATTTATACTCACACTGAGGACAGTTTTAGAAGTTGAGGCATGAATTTTAAAAAGCCTTTTTTTTATTTTCTTTAGTTTTCGGAATCTCATTTTCTTGAATGTTTATTTTTTCTTTTAATAATTCAATTCTTTTTAATTAATTTCTTCTTATGTTTCAGCGATCTTGCAATGAAACAGTTCTTGCTACATCTTGATGAAACATCAGCTCTGGGAAGGAAGTTTATTATTCAAGATTTAGATGATACACATTTGTTCATTTCTGCAGATATTTTGGAAACATTACAAGCTCGTATTGATGATTTGATGGATCAGATTAGCTTTCCATTGGTAGAGAAATAATTTTTTGATCGTGCCAAAATCAAAAAAATTTTGACAGTATGGCAGCTAAAGCAAGCGCAGTAGAGAGGCAGTCCGGCCGTATCAAAGATAGCAATCAAAAAAGAATTCTAGATGAGGCATCTCGAAATCGACGAGCTCGAAAAGCTTTGGAAGCTTTGGAACAGGATAATTTCCATGATGATCCTCATGCTGACTTGGGTATGTGTTGCTTCCTTAACTTTTGAAAGATTTTTTTCCTTTTTTGTAGCCTTCTTTCCCGCTACAATGTAACTCAATCTTGACCTATATCGTCATTAATTCACCGAGTAACATGAAATAAGTGTCAATCAAAACGTGGTTATTTCTCCTACAAGTAAAACATGCTCTGACCAATTGTTTGCTTCATTTTCATGCAAAAATGAGGGACTACTAAACGCAAAGTGGACTTCCATCATATCAGTTCTTTCTTCTGCGAAATTAAAGTCATCGAATCTTATCCCAGCGTACAATTCGGCTTCCGTTTGACAGTAGTCTCACACAATTTTGAACCGTGTCTTTATCCGAGTCTTTTTTAATATGGTCTCTGTGTTTTTCTTCCAGTGATGAGCAAGAAAATTCCTAAATTTCAAGAAACAATTGAATCACGAGGATCCAGGAAGAAGAAACCTAAAAGTGCAGAATATTACAAACAGAGGTAAGTGAACCACAAATACTACATTTTCAATGCTAATGAGCTAATGACTCTCGAGCGAGCAGTCCTGATTTAAAGACTGCCCCCCCCCCCCTTCTCGGCATATTTTTTTCCACCATGCAACTTCTTACTGGCGCTTAGTTAAATATGTAAAAATACAGCACACGCATGGCAAAATTAATACACTTACAAAGTGTATTTTGTACCAAGCTAAAAACAACTTTTTGATGGCATCATTTTTTCAAATTTTTTTATATTTGAATCTTTCTTTGTGATACTCTCATGAAAAAATTTCCATCATTCAAGCATATGATCCCTTTTTGTGTCCATCCCAGGTTCCGGAAAAGTTTAGCACAAATGGTGGAAGAAGACAAGAACTACATGACTGGAGGAACATCTTATATCACTGCAGCAGTAGAAGCTTCCAGATATCCAGATAGACACTTTTGTGCAGTCTGTGGTTTTCCCAGTAATTACACCTGCGTACCTTGTGGAGCACGTTACTGCTCAGTCAGATGCCTAGGAACTCATCAAGATACCCGGTGTCTCAAATGGACAGCTTAAATATTATTCTTCTTCGACAAAACAAGTGAATTGAATTGAATTGAAAAATGTAAAACTCCACTCCATCCAAGTCACTTAATAATAAGTAGCATCAGTGATAAATAAGTGAAAATATCAATGTTGTTGAAAATAAAATTGAGGTTCACCTCAGAAAAAAATACATTCTTGATTTAACAAGATTATCTTTTCTCTAATTCAGGTACGATTCAATATTATTTTTCTTTTAGTCACTTTCAGTAGTGCAAGTATCTATTGCACTTTTTTCATGTCTTGCTCCAGTCATAAACGACTTCACTTTATGAACTTGATTTATTCATTGCAATTCATCCAGTTTAAACATTAAATGAATCGAATAATGAATCTTTCGGTGTTAGAGATTTTGTTTGATAACTTTGGTATACTATAAATATCAAACCTGAGGAAACAACCCTTAAAGTTTACACCATGAGCTGTACTGCTGATACTTAAGAGAATGATTTATCAGGAACATAAGCTCAGATTTAAACTTTAAAAGCAATGTTCAATGTGATTTTAAGGCTGATCAAAGGAACATGCCTTTTGCTGTATCTACAAGGTCTGATGTCTTATTGTCAGCTAATCTCTATTTTCATAAAATTTTGAGACTTCACTCCCATGGGGCCTTTAAAGTATTAAGTTTGCCCTTATGAGGGACTTGGGACCCTTCTCCTCTCTCAAAGGCCTAGCTTGGCCCCATTTTTCCCAACAGCAGAGAAGAAAATAAGAAAAATTTCTGAAAAAATTGTTTTTTCTGGAAAGTATTATTTCTTATTAAGTGGGAGGTCAATGAAACTATAAACTTGGTCCCCCTCCCTCCCTCGCAAGAACCTGCAAGCCAAGATCAGACCCTCTCCCTCCTAAAAGTGGCTTATGCAATACTTGAATGGCCCTGCTTCTGTTGTGTGGTTTAAATATAAAATTAAGTAAAACTTTAACTGAATGAACAAAAATGGCATGTTTTCAAACTGCAGCAGTGCGGATGTATTGAAAAAGTCTGGAAAATCCAAAATTTCTGTTTTATTACGTACTGAATAAAAAGTTTACTTAATTCTAGAATTACAAGCTCTACAATTTGAGGAATAGCACAAGGCAGGAACATTCCTTGCTTAATCACTAATTAACCTGTAAAGAATGTTTCCTTGTTAGTAATCTTAAAGTTTTCTTGATTTCAGAAATAAATGTATTTTTTATGTCATTTAACTGGACTCTCTTAATTTTAATATTGAACCTGAGAAAAAGAGCAGCACCATATAGGGGTGCAAAATGTTTGATGTGTCTTATCGTGATTTTATAAACAATGGTCAACTCAGAACTCATTCTTTTGTGTATTTCTTCATTTCTCACATGATCTCTTCTCAAGATTCTAGCTGATCTGTCAGAAATTTACATCAGTTGCTTTCAGAATCTTTGGGATGCGATCTTTCATAGGTAATACTCCACTGCAACAGGTCATCATACTGAGTACCTTTGAATGTTCGAAGGGAAAAGAAGGTTACCTATCCCTTCCAGAAATTGACTCCAATTGTCTGAGATTTGCCTCTGTTTTGTCAGAGGGGTCATAAGATCAGGCATTACATGCACCCCTGAGGTATCCAAAGTTGATTAAATTTATTTCTTTATGCAATTCGAGTAATAAATTAAACAGTGTAGTTCACAAAGAAGCTTGTACAGATATTTACTAATCTTTTACTTTTCCTAACACCTGATGTAGTGGGTCTCATTTAAAATACTATTATTATAAGATTGGGGCACCAGGAATCACATTAATTTTACAACTAAGCCCTCTTGAATTCCCTTCAAAATAGGACTGTGCATTTCTCTCTTCAAGGCAGCAATGAATTCAGTGCACTTAGACTATTGAGAACTACTGAGGAATAGGTATCCTTTTTCGGGAGACTTGGTCTTGTCTTGTTGACAAAGGTAAGTAAATACCATTGATTTTCTATAATTTTGCAGGCTGTAGTTTTAAGTAAAGGCGCTTTCAGGACATGATATGGGGAACTGACGAATGTAACTGAAATCTGTAGGATGCCTTTCGGCATTCCAATTGTTGAACCTTTCACACCATGTACAGTGTGAATTCTTTGGTAATAGAAAGCCTCCTGATACTAAACTTAGCTTAAGGAATGGGCAACAGTGTCACCTCATCTACCTTAATCTGTGGGAAGTCAGAGAGATCACAACAAAAGTTGCTTGTGTGCATGTCTCACTCAAATTACCATCGTCTTTGAATTTTTGAATTTGTCGGCTAAGTCATCTCAGGGGAGAGGGGCCAGCAATGCCACCATTCCTAGATAAAACTAAGACCGCTAAATTAACGTTCTGTGTAAGACAGAAAGTGCATCTTACCTAAACCAGTTTCCCACTTCGTCTTGAAGGGTTTCAAGCTTTGCTGTCTGAGGACACTCAACTAAGAATTTGTGTTAAAGATTTATAATACAATTTAAAGTAAAGGGTCATCTTTGTTTATCAGGAATTCGTAGCTGTAAAGTAAACAAACGCGCTGATTGGTCAAGCCGCGATCAAGTGTGTCAACCTTCTCATAGGGGAAACTTTAAACTTAAAGTTCAAACGATGAGGATTGCTCCATCGCTCTCATTATAGCAATTTTTAAGATTAAAATTTCCTATCAAAACGGAAACAAAAAAATGATGGAGCAAAGAAAGTTTAAAATAAGCTACTAGACTCGATTGATAATGGTTGTAGCACTTGACGGGAAACGGCAGGGAGTTTTTGTATTTTTAAGCGGCATCCTTGCGGTAGCAGAGCGACCGAGAAATTTATTACATGGCGGATGTACTGATGTGCAATTATCCGGAGTTACTCTGTGTTTAATTAATTTATTTTAGTTATTTTATAATTTATTGTTAAATAGTGAAGTGTGTGATGTGAAGTTATCATTGGTTTTGATCCCAAGGAATGTTTCAATGCAAAGTATCTCGGCTGAAACTACGAATAACCTCCAAAATGTTGGTAGCCGATTTTCTTATTTGGAACAATAAACCTCAAGAATCATGTCTATTTACGTCGTAAAAAAGTAAGGTTTGTCATTATTCTGTCATCATATCATTGCTTAGCAAGCGCATTCGTCGTATCTTCACGTCTGCCATTTCACCCTTTTCATTCTTCACGTTTAACCATCTATTTTTCCCTCAAGATCCATCTTTTCAGCACGATCATGAACAGGATATCAGCTACACTCATTGCTGCTTGATATCAAAAACCTCTCGTAATTTCTCTCTTTGGTTCAATTTGTTTTCTCTCTAAGCTGATTACAACCCACCTGTCACATTTCGGCAATTGCTCAGTTGTAAGTTGTCCCATCTTCTTCAATTCCACTTTCTCAGTTCAGTCTGCAAATCCCTACATTGCTCATAATGTTTGTCTTGGGTAAGCTTATCGATAAGGATTAGCGCTAAGCCTTGAAATCATGGTTCAATTTTGATTCAACACACTTGTAATCCAGTACCAAGACCATCCTATCATAGTTCTATGATACATCATTTAGGAGAGATAGATAGGATAGAGGATACATCATTTAATCTGTGAGACAGTTGAAAGTTTACGTTCATGATTATCATTGTGGCATATACCTTTCTCAGTCATGTAAAAAAACTTGTCTGTATGCTTGCTAACAAGTCATCGGACATTTCTTGTCACACCCTGAAAAAGAGGTCTGATTTGAACTTTTTGTTTTGGAACCATATCATTCGCATGTTCAGCTGGGTAAACTAAGTTTTGAATTGGTTATAAAGTGGACATGTGCTCTGTGCACTTAGTTAATTTATGCTTCAACATATAAAAGAGTATGATCTAACCAGTCCTTTTCATTATTCAATCCCAGTATATCTTGCATTAAAAGGTATACGAGTCCTGCTTGCTACTGATATGAAACTTTTACTACTTGCCATCTAATTGTCACTTCACAATTTGGACTCCAAACTGAAACATGAAAGAATGATTATTAATCATTGGGTTTCCTGAGTAAATTAATTTTATCCCTAAGGACCTTGTGCCTCATAACTAGACAAATTGTATGCAACTAATCAATATGGTTGTCAATCAGTTAATCTCATTGGTTTTATTCCGGAGATACTTTTTTCACTTGACACGCCTCCGATGCATATGATCTATGCTTACTTTTATTCAAGAAGCTGTAAACAACATTGAATCTTAAGGCTTCTTTATAACAGTTCCTAAGCTCAGTCCAAAACTTTCTTATCAATTGCCATGGAATGCTGGGTTACTTCTACGAGGTGAAGACTACGGTCTTAGTAGTGGCCCACCACAATTTTTTGAATTTTATAGTTCGAATAAGACTTTACATCAAATTTTACAACTTCCTATTTCATCCCGGGAATGATCACCCAATAGTCAGTTTTAGGGTCATATTTTTTGTCTCCCTAAAAATTTCCAACAACACTGGTGCATACATCAGAGAGTTCTAAAATCAACTGTCAAGTAATGCTGGAGGCATCCTCTCCCTTTTTGCATCTAGTATTTAAGTTTTTTAGAGACTTTTTATTTGCAAGTTGACCTCTAAACATATGTGGGTTTGCATTCTCCCATAGGTTCAGTTAAACTTTTAAAAATAGTAATTAGTGATCTCATATTCAAGTGCTGTGATTTAAATCTTGTGATCTTCCTATCATGGCTGATGTGTGATTTCTACACTGGGGACTGTTTGAAAGGGAAAGAATAAGTAGAACTGAATATAATGTATCCAAAATTTTGAAACCTTTCCTAAGTATCCACGTTTATCACTGCTTTTTGTATTGCTTGATAATAGTGACAGCAGGATCGGGTAACGTAGAAGGAGAATAAAACCTAAAGAAAGCACTTGACAAACCTGTCTCTTCTCTAAAACAAATCCATGAAGTGGGTTTGGTCCAGCATTTACAACAATTCTGGACTTTGCATCGGCACAATGAAGAGAGATATTGCACTTTAGGGTTTTCTCATTTTGCTGGCTCAAGCAGTGTCATCAATATTTTTATTTCTTTAATTGCCCATGCTACCCTTTGTGCATGCTGGTCCCTTCGAAAACAAACTCATCATCCTAACTTATATCTTGCACATGCAAAGGGATCCTTCAACTACTCTGTATTTTCAAGTTGTCGAAGTTCTTATTCATTATTGAAGGAGCAAGAACAAACACTTCTCATACGCTTTCACAGTTTTAACTTTTCTTTTGATTGATTCAAGTCATTTGTCCATTTTTAATGACTTTGATATCTACTTTGCAAAAATTATCAATCATATTTTTTCTCTTTGCAGGATGTCGTGAGGAAAATCCACCATTACATTATGGATCCGTTCAGGGTATCAAGGATAGGAGCTGTTACAATACAGCGCATCATTCCTGAAGCGTCCAAACAGAGTAGTAGTCACACTCCTGTGTTCTCGAATTTTAGCACTCAGAATGATTCGGAGATCGAAAATGAGCAAGGCATCAAAACAGGAACGGCAGCTGATCGTACTGCAGCTGACATGGAAGTCGACGAAGACAAGCCAGTTCCCAACACTTTCTTCCCTGAAGAAAGCGATACGATGGGACCAGGCTTCGGAAGAATGGATCCAGAGCAGTCCTTCCAAGGCGAGGCTAGAATGGTGGAAGGCTCGTTCAAAATTGAAAATCATCCTGAAACGCTACAAAACCAGTCTCCAAAATTCAGGCCAGGTGATGAAAGCGGGAGCGTTTCAGAACCAAAGCCTGAAAGCGACAGAACTATGGTAGGAAATGAAAATGAGTCCAATGACCGGTCGGAAGTCTCAACGGATTCTCGAACTTCAGGAGGCGGGGAAGAAGCCAGTAATTCTTCTAATAAGGCTGATAGTAAGATAACTCAAAATAATTTTTCTGAAGACATCAATAAAAAATTAGGTAGATTTGGTTTTAGTGTTAGCGTAAGTGAAGTAAAAATTCCATCCTCAGATCAGACCTCAATCGATGAAGCTCTAGGCGATGAGGCTCCAGACGATGAAGGATGTGAAGATCCTAATGTAGAGGAGCCGAAAGACGAAGACGGTCTTGAATCCATCGAAAACTTGGTTTCATCTCTTAGCGAGCAGTCGGATCAGTTTAAGGAGCTGAAGTCGAACGTAGAGTTTTTGGATGCGTCTGACTTCAAGAAAGAAATATTTAGTGAGGATCTAGACAGTGAAACCGCAAAAAGTGATGTCAGAAAAGAGCCCAACCAGATGGACGATGAGCAAAAGATGGATGTAGCTAATGACGACGTGAAAGTAAAGAAAGAAGACGATGATAAAGAGGGAGATGAAGCATCAGAAGAAGACGATGAAACTGAAGGAGATGGTGATGGCGGAGATGAAAAAGATCTTGATGATAAAGATTCTGACAAGCCTAAAAAGAAGCATTCCAAGAAAAAGAAAACCAAAAAATCACCCAGTAAAGGTAAGTTTAATCCTTCTGTCTCAATTTATTTAGTTCATGTTTTATCAAATGCTGAATGCACCAGATAAATCTTTAATTTCCTAATTTTATATCTTCCAAAGCAAGTAACAAAATCATTAAAACATTTTGATTTCATTGGAATTGTGTAATTTTTTGGTGCATGAGAACAGCAAAGCACTTTATTTTGACTACAATACTTTTAAAAGTTCATGCCATATCTATCAAACTTTTCATCATTTTTAAGTAAAATTTAAAGTTTTCACCTTTTAAACTTATTGAGGTTTTGCAAAAATAAAATGAGCAGTTTGCCTAAAAAATTCATTTTCCACTCCACTTATTTGATGTCTGTCTCTATTTGTTTTCTTTTCTTTCTGCCGTGTTGTTCAAATTTATTAGAGTTCAACAGGGAGGATAAATAAAAATTACATCAGGATGTACACATTTGCGATCTTGATCTTGCATGGGCTTAACAAACTTTTGGCCTTCTCTAAATTGCTCTCTATGCGTTTATTTTCTAGAAGATGGTGAATCAACTTCCTCGGATTCTGGTAGTGATTCTGAAAAGAAAAAACGCAAGAAAGCTGGTGTGTTAAATATGAGGCGCAACATTCGGGAAGTCATGGACGAAACACAATTAGACGAATCAACACTCAATGCTCAAAGACAAGAAGCTGAAAGATTACGGCGCGTGCAAGAACAACAAAGAATTATAAGAGAGGTAATAAATCAAGGTTTTTCAACGATACAATCTAGTATTGAAAATACAGTAGGATTCCTAACAATGATCAATTTTTCTATTTTTAATTTATTGATTTATTTATTTAATAAAATACAAACTAGAAAAAAAAAAATTTGATAGGAAACTCACAAGAGTGTTAAATTTGAGCTTAAAGAACTCAAAAACACTGGAGGCTTGGCAAAAGTTTATTTGTTGGATAGTTCATCTCTCAAATTTAGGTTTAGATCAATTATAAACTTAGTTAAGCTTTCTGAGTGCAATTCTAACAGGAGCTTTTCTTCTCTTTGAAAGCGGACTGTCTGAAAAACTGTGTAATAATGAATGAAACAAAGATTATTAATAATGTTTGATACTCAGTTTTTTTTTTTTTTTGGTCTCAGTTCCTTCTTTAATTTTGTATAAAACGGTGATTTTTTTTTCAGGTTCAAAGACAAATAGCCATTAACAGACAGCAAAATAAAACACAAACCCGAGTGATTTCGCTCCTGCAAGGAGGCTCCTCTTCCTCTAAAACCACTGTAACCTCATCAAGCTCATCTAAACCCAGCACAGTTGTCGTCAAAGTCTCCTCTGGCTCTGGCTCAACGCAAATCGTCAATAAAAAGGTATTGATAATTACTTTTTCCATCCAACGAACAAGCAAATACTTAATTTTTCATCCTCGAGTGTAATTTAAGTTTTGTATTTTGACAAAATAGTTGTTGCTTTGTACTTTCCCTGCTCTCCACAGGGATTCATTTCACAGTCCGATACATTATGAGAGGATGTATTTGACAATGAATAGCAAAATCATTTCCAACCTGTATGGCAGGTATTTGTCATTAGTCCATAAGAGATATGGCGGAAAAAAAATTCAAAACTACGGCCCAAATACTGATTAAAGTATCACTTCTGTTGTTGACCTCATCGGGCATACTTTATCAAATTTTGAAATTTTTGTAAAACTTTTTCTTACCGATTTTTCTAAAAATTGTTGTTGATGATCACCTGACGATGAGCGTTAGCTCGAAACAGTTGTACTGTAGAATCAACAACAATTTTTAGAAAAATCGGTTAGAAAAAGTTTTACAAAAATGTCAAAATTTGATTTAAGTATGTCAAAATAATGCTGGGTACACTTGGGAAACAGAACTGAGAAAAAGATCAATAGAATCAGAGATTTAATTAACATTTAATATGTTAGAGCGCAAAATTGAAAGGGAGAGCACTCAACCATTTTTTTGTCAAATGTAGAACGTATGTGATGCAGAAATTGCTGCAATTCTGTGAAAAGCATGTGAATTTCATGTTGACTCTACAAAATATTTGCAATTTGCCCCGGAGTTTGAAGAAACATGTGATTTAATGTCATTGCAATGTGGCCCTCCTGTTCTTTCATGCAAACCACAACGTGATCATGATATCGTGGTTGGAAAGTTTCTGCACCCCTAGTAAGAAGTACAATTAATTAGTTCAAGACCACCTATCTGGAGGTTTAAAATCTTCCTGCTTGGAAATTTTAAAACCGTTTATTTATTTTTATTTTTTATTGATTTCATTTGTTCGCTTTAATAACGCTTTTCCAGGTGTTAGACTTGCTCAAAAGTCAAAAGAGTGGTTCAGATAGCTCAAGTGAGATCCGAGTCACTTCCATTCCTCGATCATTTAATAAGCCACACATGGTCACACCCTCCGTTTCAATAGCACCAGTTCAAGCAAAAGCTATCTCAACAACACCTGAAGATTTGAGTGATGAAGAGAATCTCGCTCGTGCAGCAATTGCACTGAAGAAGAAAGCAGCGGCAAAGAAAGGTATGGCAACCTTGTAAATTTCTATGTCAACATTTTTAGCCTACTGTATTCTATCTTTTTTTGGAAAAAGTCTGGCCTCTGAATAGCAGAAAAGCATTTACTTGAGAGGATTTCAAAGTAACAAGACTAGCAAACTGAATTGCAAGGCTTACAATTGGACTATATTTTGCAAATAGGAACTACAGTTTGTGGCTCGATTTAGAAACAATGTGTGTACCATTAGTTTCCCTATGCACGTAAGTGTTTTTACAGATGAGCCAGAAATTGTAGATCCGAATTGCAAAATCTAGCCCAATCATCCCGTATCATAAAGAAACAACCTCAAAATGAAGCTTTGAGGAGCAAAATCTTTGGACTTATATCGTGGCAAAGTGTTGTAGAGCACTCAATTAGTATTTGATAAACTTTGATCGGCAGTTACCTGATTTACCATATTTTACAGCATTTACTAGCATCTAGCAGAAAAGAATCCATTGGCGCTCTCAAAGAAACTCAAGAATCAAAGATTATTAATTCATTAAGGTAAATTAAAAAGGGTTTTAAACTTGTCCAGGGACATATTTAAAGTCTGTCTAGGATATTCCGCACGTCGAAATTCAACTTCAGTTTTGTCCATTTTGTCATTTACATTGAGCCGTACTGTAAGTTGAATTATCAAACCAATTTTCCTCAGTTTCAGGTCTTCGTCCTTTTGTTATTTTTTGTTAAATGCTACTTGTTGGCACCATTTATTTGTAATTTTTTATATTTCTTTCATGCTCCAATTGAATCAACTTTTCTTACTGAACAAGCAGTCATTTGCATTCCAATATTTCTCTAGATGTATACTTCTAAAATACTGTAACCTTTCTGTTTCTTTTTTTTAAATTTCTTCTCATCAGACGTGGTCACCATCAGTAGTAGCTCTGGTTCAGAGGATGATTGTATCGTCATATCAGAACCGAGCGCAGGTGAAGAAAGCGAACAAGAAGATGATCCAACCAACAGTGGAATGCATACCAACGACACTTACAATGTACCTGATGAACAGGGACGTGTGTTAATAAATGTTGGTCATCCGGAATCAGAACCCGATGTTTTTCTCTCACCACAAATTGCAAGAATTATCAAACCTCATCAGGTACACAGCTCACTGTTTCTATTTTGGTACAACTCTCCGAGCATGATAGTTCAGTCGGTAAGGAATTTGTAAGATGCTCATCAATGAGCCATTACTCTGAAAACTCTTGTTCAATGTGAGTGGAAAATTAGTATATCTAAAGAAGAATGCAGAAGAGAATTCAAGAGGAAATAAACTTCAGAACCAGCGATTGGGATTGGTGTGATGTGCCTGTCCTGGATCTGTAATATGTATATTTGATCAATTCTGACTGCCCGCGGGAAAAGGGATCCATAGGGCTCCCGATGTCTGCTTTTGTAAATTAACCTAAAATGTATGCTGGACGTCAAAGCACTAAAACAACAGGCACTGAGGTATTTCCCTCTTCTGGTAGAAAAAATGCTTTAACCAAAGTGTGTTTTTGATGTGAGACACTTCTTTTCCATTATTACGACACTTTGACTTTGCTTTAGGAATAACTTTAAATCTCATTCAAATTTTGAGTTTTTACAACTTTAAATTTATTTTCATGATCAATTGAGTTTTTAATTTTTCTTTATTTTTCCTCAAGAGTCTTCATTGGCTTAGCAGATTTTTCCTGCGCATTCAAGATTTTTTTTTAATTTTTACGTTCCCCTTTTCCAGATTGGAGGTGTAAGGTTCCTTTTCGACAACATTGTAGAATCTCTTGAAAGGTACAAAACATCCACTGGATTTGGTTGTATTCTGGCTCATTCAATGGGACTGGGAAAAACGCTTCAGGTATTAGTCCCACCGTTTACCCTTTTCTTTCTCGCTTATGAATTTACACCTTTTTATGGTGTGTTATGGTGACAATTTATGGAAACAAGGAGCATTAATATAACAATTGGACTACATTTTGAAATTTAGAATTACTATTTTTGGCCCATCTGTAACAGCACCTATCTGCAAAGGGAAAATCAAAGTAGGAAAGAAGGAAGAACAGGAAAAGAACTAACCAGAGGAAAAAGAATCAAAAGATTAATAAGAGAGTGAGAAGAAGGAAAAGTAGGGGAAGAAATGTTCGAGGTGGAATAAGAAAGAGAGGTTGAACAAAAGAATCAAGAAGAGAAGAAAAAGGGAAGAAAAATACGAAAATGATGAAGGAACATTGTCTCAACATTTGAAAAGAACAATATATCTTACTGGTATCTTTTCCTTGATGAATTTTTGTTTTTATGTCTTTTTGTTTTAAATTTTTTAGGTTGTTTCTTTTTGTGATGTGTTCCTGCGGTATACCGAAGGCAAAAGTGTCATGTGTATAATGCCAATCAATACTCTCCAAAATTGGGTAGCAGAGTTCAATCACTGGCTTCCATTGCCTGCAGAAGCTCCCAATTCTCCCCTTGCAGCTGATGGTGAAGTCCGACCACGGGAATTTCAAGTCTACATTTTAAATGATTTCCAAAAATCTATCACTGCGAGAGCTAAGGTAACTGCAATGAAACTTTTAAGGCATAACTTGCAATTTTACTTAACTTTCTCTCTGTATCCACTTTTAAAAATTACTGAGTTTGGCCCGAATATCGCCAATTACTATCAGTGTATTGGCGAAAAGCCATCTGGAGTTGGTTTGACTGTGAACATAAATGATGTATTTTACCTAAAATCACAAAGCCCAAGATGCTTATTTGCAAGTTCTCTGTTTTGTAATAGTATAAATGCTTTCAGTATTTTGATCGATTTTTGACTCTTTTTTCAGGTCATACAAGAATGGAAAAAAGAAGGTGGTGTTTTATTGATAGGATATGAATTGTATAGACAACTTAGTTTGAAAAAACCAAGGAAGCCTAGAAATAAGAAACAGAAAGAGGAAGAAATTCCAGACGATAAAGCTAAGCCTCTTCTGGAAGGTAAGTTGCGATGTATTTATTTAAAACTAATTTTCCATCCTTGCTTCATTCTAAACTAGAATGTATAATAACATCGGCAAATAATGCAAGCGCTGTGCCTAACTATGTGCATAATTTTTGGACAGCATCAGGTCCAGTAACTGACAGGTGAATATCAGAAGGTATAAAAAAGTAATGGTCTTATAACTCATGAAAATATCTCATCAAAGACTGGCTTTTTTTAGCTCCAATTCAAACAGGCAAGTGATCTCTGACTTCAGTTCAAACATAATCTGCCAAGATTCGGACCTATCTTCAGTATCAGAGCCTTATAATGCGTCTGGTCCACCATTTTTTTTACCCAAAAAGCACCTCCATCATTGGCATCTAGAGGAATGAGATTATGCTCATAAAATCTTAAATTTTTAAATAGTTTGGCTCATGCTGTTGAGTTTTATTAGCAGCAGCAGTTAGATTGGTCTTAAATATCAGAGTCATCCGGAGAGGATGTTTTAAGATTTTATATCCTTTGCATCAAAACCTTGCGCACCTAATCTAGCCCCTTTTCTACACTGTAGATAAAGTTTCAACTGGTTTGCAATGTCCAGGATATTTTACTTATTTTCTCATGTGTGCCTTTTGTGCAATGTTTACCATATTCTCAATGTTTTTTTTTTTTTTTGCTGTGATTACAGAAATGTATGAAGCATTAGTTAAACCTGGTCCTGATCTCGTAATATGTGACGAGGGTCATCGAATCAAAAATAGTCATGCTTCTATTTCGCAAGCTCTCAAGCAAATTAGAAGCAGACGCAGGGTTGTTCTTACTGGCTATCCGCTTCAGAATAATCTTCTGGAATATTGGTGAGTTTTTTCTATTTTTAATGCATTGAGGCTTATAGATATTAAAAAGAGTGTCCAGCAGAAACCCAACATTCCCTTAAGTTTTTCTGTCATTTTAAGTGATGGCATAAACTGTTTTTGGTTGTTTTTTTGTAATTTTGAAACTTTAATTTTCCTGAAATTCTGAGAATTCATTGGATGAAAGAGTGTACTTTTCACCCTAATTCACCCTGTATCGTACCTATCCTTTCCAACAATGTATCATTTATTTCTTTGTATCAGCAGTTTATAAATATTGAGTTGCGCCTCACTCTAGCCCTCTCAAAGTATCCTCTTTAAATTAAAAATATGGCCCCTGCTGTTTGTCACTTTGCTGAGAAGTTTCTGAAATAATCCTAACCTGATAGTCACCTGAAGTGTTTGCCCATTGCAATTGGATGATAATTAAAGAAAATAAACATTAAGAATGTGAAATGAACAATAGACAGCTATTTGAAATTAATTATTCTTTCATAGTCACAAGTTATTATTCTTTGTTCCTAATTAAAATAGAAATTTTCTCTTAAATTTGTTTGTATGATCGAAGAAAATCTTCAGAAAATTGTGAAAAATATTTTTGCTTAATTTACTCTAAAAAAATTGAACATCAATGTAAACTTGCGATGTCGTAACCAGACTTACATACTTTTTGACTCTAGCTGTTGATAGACAACTGCTGCTGGGGGGTTGATGATTTCTGTCAGTTTTGTTTAAAGTCTAAATTTGAGCTCCCTAATCAATAACATTTCTCACCTTGTTATTCTGTAGGTGCATGGTGGATTTTGTACGACCAAATTATTTAGGTTCAAAGACAGAATTTAGTAATATGTTCGAACGTCCAATTCAAAATGGTCAGTGTGTCGACAGCACACCTCAAGATGTCCGGCTAATGCGATATCGTGCTCATGTTCTTCATTCTCTGTTAGAAGGGTTCGTCCAGAGGTGAGTTGTGTCTTTTCAACTTTCCATTTACCAATTTTTTAATGTTTATTCTAGGGGTGCAGAAAATGCCCTGGGCGCATGGAAATGTAGAAAAAGGTACAATTTTTAAAGGTCAAAGTTGGAAATCGAAAGAAACAAGCAGAAAAAGGTCCTCACTTTTGAAACATGAAAAGTAATGTGTTGTAAGCGGGCAGACTATATTTTGGAAAATTGAAGGACTTCATGTTTCAAACCCACATTTCAAGTTGATTTCTCTCATATTATATGTAATTGATTTTCAATCCGTAGAATGGTACATATGTACAAACATATTATAATTTTATGATAGAATGAACTACATCATTTGAAACAGCAGATAAGAGAGCCCTTTTTGTTCACTGTATTCTTTAAGTGCCCATACAGAGAAGTACATGCTCACTTTTTCAAAGAACTGTGAAGTATCAGCAATTGGAAATTTCACAATTCTTAAAAATTCTACAATGTTCTAATCATTGGTCATAGAAAATTTGTGCAACTAGCAGCTTATCTACAACAGCACCTGCACACTAACAGTACATTGTCTTTGATTTCCTTCAATTTAGGCGAAGTCACTCTGTTCTTCAACAAGCTCTTCCACAAAAAGAAGAATATATTCTACTAGTTCGGATGACACCTTTCCAACGGAAACTGTACGAAACATTCATGAATGAAGTAGTTAGAATTAAAGCTGTACCAAATCCTCTCAAAGCGTTTGCTGTGTGTTGCAAGGTTTGTTTGTCTTTCATTTCTTTGTTTTCGAAAGATAGTTCCAGTATGTAAAAACTGTAAATTCTCAAAACAGTGTAATATCTTAAAGCAGCATGTTTTTTACTTGTAAACCTCTTAGTTTCTTGAGAGACGCATTAATGCATCCTCCTAAATAGACTGCAATCAAGTAACTCTGAAGTTTAACATGTGCAATGGGACCGTTGCACCCAAGAAATATGGCTAATTGAGGAAACTTTAGCAAGAATAAAGCACATGAAAATCATAGCAACCTCGTCAAAAGAGTCTAAAATCCATTCCATAACGCACAATTTGCATGGATCATATAATTTTTTCCAAAAGGCGCTTTTTTCAGTCATTGGCAACCAGGTCTGCCAAGAGACAGGTGTCTGAAAAACCAACCTAATGATAACGAGTTATCTTGCAAGCTTTTGTCTAACTAGCTCTCATAAGATCTGAATAATTTTAAAGCATTTTCTCCTGATACTTTTTCTTTAAAGTCAATGAAATCATATGTACACCAGAGTGATTCATAACAACTTGCGAGATTGTTTGCTTGTTTATTTTGGTTTAATTTTCATACAACTCTTATCAGCTGATCGAAAAAAGTTTTGTCGGGTGTGGGAATTATGAAAACGTAGGATATGAAGGACTATGCATCAAGGATTGAATTCGAGACTTCTCTATTGTGTTTTTTATGAGTTCATTGTTACCAGAAATAGTATTGACCTATAAATCAACCTGTTAATCATTTCGTTCCCTGAGTCAAGTCTTACATGAAATTGTGAGTCCAAAACAAGTATCGAAATGTGTTAATTTGTATTGAGTCGAGTGACTCATTAGTCTCATTTACCATTTGTTTTTGTCTAGTCATTTCCTCAGTAATCTTATCTTTCATTTTACCTATTTAAATTTTGACCAGTCATGTATTTAATTTTATTTTCTTTCAACAGATTTGGAACCATCCAGATATATTGTATAATTTTTTGAAGAAAAAGGAAGAAGTAGATCTAGATCTAGTTGAGGCAGCTGCGTGTCTTGGTACCCCTGGCTCAATGACTACTAGCGTACCTCCCACTCCTCCTACGCCCACAACCAAAGGTGGGAAACGCTCTCGCGCCAAAGATCCATCAGCAGCAGCTAAAAAAGATAAAAAGCCTCGGAAGGTAAATTTTTTCAAACTAACATTTCATTGTTTTTGAAAGATCGTCAGAATTTTTGAAACAGGACAATAGCTTCCCTTATTAAGAGATTTCGCTCTTTGGCTTTTATACTTATATTCAAGATCAGTGGAAGTCTAATTGACCTCTCAATAATGATTGTAATGCCAATATCAAGTTTTTAATTTTTTTCCCCATTTTAATCAGCTGCAATTTGCTGTCTATTATTTAGATCTATTATTTTTTATCATATGGTTTATTTTGTGTAAGAATACATTAGTAACTAATTTTTATGTATCTTAATAAAATGCATCTGTGGCTAACTACCTGCATATTCTCAACTAAGATTCATCAGGAAGTCTCTAATTTTGTTTGTGGAAATTTCACAGAACCCTATAGAAACTAGTCACCTCTCGCCAAATCTTCCAGTTTTAACCTATCCTCTCTCAGGATTGCTGCACAACAGATTTTTTCCAGATAATGTAGAGGAATGATACTTACAATATCCTCTTTCATCATACCGAGAAGCAGAATATCTAATTTCTCAAGATAGGAATTTGATTTTGCATTAATATCTTTGGTTTATTTTCTTTCTGAGCATCTTTCAATATATGTTAGTGTGAATTGTCCTTTAATTTGTCACATTTGCAACAAAACGTCATTCCAATTTTCTCATTTGTTTTTCCAGGGCGCCAAGGGAGCTAATGATGCAGAGAATACGCCTGCTGTTGCAACTGTTCTACCAAATGTGAACAACAATGCAGGAGGAAGCGATCAGTCCTTACTGCCATTCAATTACAACAACCAAAACAACTCTAGTTCATTCAACGCCAACTCAAGCTACCCCGACAGTGGAAATTACAATGGTTTTGAGCACCAACAGTTCCCTGGCCACATCGGAACAAACTACAATAACCCTAGTCAGCAGCCCTACGACTCGTTCAACTATAATCAAAGCAACTATCCATCGCAAAGCCCTCTTCCAGGAGCCACAAATCAACCAGGGACACAGCAACATCAAGCATATTATCCACCAGGATATCAGGACCAGTCAAACTATTGGCAAGACAACAGCAATTTATACCCCAACAACTCTGATCCACATTCAGAAATGAATTATTATGGGAACAGCGACAATGGCTTTTACGATCAGAACAACAGCAACTTTAGTACATCAAACAACATGTATAATCAATCTAACTATGCACGCGGGTGCTACGATAATAACAGTTCTGTCAGTGCGAACATGCCTACCCCTGACAATCCAGTCAACATTCCCTCTTTGCCGAACGTGGGCAATAGTTTAAGTGATACGAGTAATAACTTAGATTCCTTCGCTAATAAAGACAGTCGGAACTTTAGTTGTTTAAGCAATCCTCCCAGTGTCCCCGCTTTTAACAATGTAACGGACAATGTACATAATATTGTGAATAGCAACTTAGGATTAACAAATTTACCGAATAATGTGGACCCAGTTGATAGTCTCATGAATACAAATCTAGCGGCAAACAACTGCGAAAGTGGGAAGAATTCGGGTAATTTCCACGGTTTGCCAGGTTATCAGGGTAATCTTTGCAACACGAATATGATGAGTTCGATTATGAATGAGTCAGTGGTTGACACAGTCAATAATCCTGCTTCAAACAGTAATGTGATGCAAGATGCCTACAATTCCATCTCATCATACGGAAATCAACAATTTAATAACTACCCTGCACGAGGTAATAACTTTCCTCCACATCAAATGGATGTATCTCAAAATCTTCCCTACAATCACTTAGCAGATAACCAACCAGGGTTTCCATCGTCAGAAAATCAGCCTGGATTTTCTGCTGCGAAGCAAAAGACTGATTTCTCTCCTAAAAAAGAGCTGGACTCGAATATATTTCCCAGTAGTGATAGTACCTTAAATGAGCTTGGCTTTCCGTTTAAATCTGAGTCGAAAGAAGATATCAAAGATCTACCTACCGTTCTGTTTCCTTCCAAAGAAGAGATTAAATCTGAAACAAAGGAGGAGATCAAAGATGAATTGAAACCTGACTGTGCCATCAAAGACAAAAAAGAAGTTACTGCTGCTGACAGTCAAAAGGACAATTCTCACAATGAATTGGGAAACTTGGCTGATGGAACCAAAAAGGATGTTACTTCGGTGGTTAAATCTACTTTTGAAAGCCCAGCATCCAAGAAAGAGGACCCAGGAATTCCATATGATTGGGTATGTACTTTTCATTCTTCTCAGTAATCTCTTCTAGAATTCAATGAGACAAAATGCTGTAATGACTTCTGGCGTAATGCCGGAAATAATAATGCTTTTGAAATTGCTTTGAGCAGTGTTTTCCAAAGGGTAATATTTTTTTTTTATTAACAGACAGGAAAAAATAGCATGTTGGCTAGTCTTTTCTTGTTTCTAATTCTTCCTAATTTTTAAGATTTAACAATTTTAACACTTCTCAGCAACATACCTAATTAACGTATCTTGTTTGTTTGCAGGCTATCAAACTATTGGAGGATTACGTTCCTGGGCTGATTGATTCGTCCCCAAAAATGGCGATATTTTTCTGTATCGTGGAAGAATCAATTGCCATGAGAGACCGGATCCTAGTTTTCAGTCAGTCTCTTTTCACGTTAAATTTAATTGAAGATTTTCTCCAGAGAAACTACATTCCAGGGACTGATACATATTGGGCTAAAAACTGGAGCTATTACCGTAAGTTATATCTTTGTTTACTTTCCTCTTTTCATGTTATGATTTTAACATTAAAACCCTTTTGCCCTTAGGATTTCTCGGGAAAATGCTATATAGCTTACAAAAAATCTCAGAATGTGGAACATTCTCTATTAATTTTGAAAGGCTTTTCAGAAATGTGTTGCAGGCTGCAGTTTTTGAACAAACGTTGTTATTTCTGAAACTAAAAGACTCCAAAAAAGACCTATCTATCTATGAGAAATCTATCTACTCTATCTAATCCCTGTAAAAAGCAGGGCTGTGCTCCTAGTGAAATTTGAGTTTAAGGAAAAAACAAGGCAAATCTTTTGAATTACTCCTTTCTCAAACACAACAACAACACAAACAAACTGCAGATTTTCATACACTTACTCCCTACAAATGACATGGACAAAAAATCTCAAATGAATATTTTTGTCGATTCTCAATCTCAATCAGAAAATTCCTGTGATCATTTCAATAAAATATACTGAAAAAAACTCAATTTTATGGACGTGTTTTCTTTAATTTTCTGATTCTCATGATACGAATGTTGTGTTCCACAGGTTTGGATGGGAGTACAACTGCCTCCGAGAGAGAAAAATTGATAAACGAATTCAATGCAAACGATCAAGTACACATGTTTCTAGTATCTACTCGAGCTGGGTCATTAGGTATCAATTTGGTTGGTGCTAATAGAGTAATTGTTTTTGATGCCTCCTGGAATCCTTGCCATGATACCCAAGCTGTGTGTAGAGTTTATCGGTAAGTTTGATCCCTCTCGTCCTCCGATTTCTGTTCTCTTACAGGTATCTCAGAAAAATGTGAAATGGAGAATTGGCATGCAAATTTTTTATTGCTTCATCTGAAAGTGCTTAAAGAGCTGATTTCACAGTATTTTTTATAATTTTTTTGTGTTATGGGAAATAGTATAAAAATAGATTTAAAATTGAGAAAATGCACCGTCTAGTGACGTTATCTGGTGGCAGTTTCCATTTAAACACACGTATTTTAGCAGATTATATCATTTTGTCATATCTTCTCCAATAATTGTTCAATTCATGAGGTTACGGATTAGGTCACCGCACTAAGGTTACGGATGTAATCTAAGTGCAAAATCGACTATTAGTTGATTATCAATTATAAATATTTGTAATGAGAAAGAAAAAATGAATATTTTGATGAAGAGCACTTTCAGTAACAAAACATAAAGAAGTAAAAAAAAAACAATAAATGCTCATGAAGGCTTCTGCTCTTCTTCTGTAACCTAGATTGCTTTTAATCCCCTTTTCATAATGTTAAGGCAGAGATATAATCCTTGGACACATCTTCAGGTGCTCCCTCGGATCTGCATGTAGATTAATCTATAAGAACTTTCCCAATTGTTTTTATTTATTTGCTCCTCATCATCATTACGCTTTCTTATCAACCGCTCCTCAATCTTAAAGGCATGAGCGAAAGGGACAAAGGAACTACCTGTTGCAATTTGGAACTGAAAGTTCTAGCTCAGTTTAGAAAGAACGTAAGTATGTTTAGTTTCCTGATGTACATAAGTGTTTATGCGGAAGAGCCAGAAATTGTAGTTCTTAATTGCAAAATGAAGTCCAAATATGAGTTTGGTGTTTTATATTTGTTAGTCGAGCTTTTGCGTCATGTCAATCAATGAAACTGTTCTCATATATTTATTTGCTTGTACTTGTGTTCCAGTTATGGCCAGCAGAAACCATGTTTTGTCTATCGATTGGTGATGGACAATTGTCTAGAAAAGAAAATCTACGATCGTCAGATAAACAAGCAAGGAATGGCAGACCGAGTTGTTGACGAATGCAATCCTGATGCTCATCTGTCCATCAAAGAAGTTGCAAACTTGTGTTGGGATAACGATGAGGACTCCGTGCCACAAGATTATTCTAATCAGAAGGATAAATATTCAGACTTCATCATTCATAAAATCCTCGATAACTATAGTCATTTCCTTTCAAAGGTAATTCTAATATCATTTTCAAATGAGCTATCATAAACCGCATTTTTCCCAAGATTATATTGATCATAAATAACATAACATTTTAAACATTGGAAGGTGATTATTTAAAGTAAAGGGTTATGTTTTCTCCAACTATGAATCGGTCTTTCTCCTCGATACCATGGAGGTTAGTTCACTCTGTACTTACAGAAAAAATAAGTGCTAAGGATCCGTTCAGGCGATATTCATCATCCTGAAAAGACATTTACAGGGTTGCCAAAGTCAAGGAATTCCAAAAGTTAGGGAAAATGACAAAATTGTCTGGGAAAAATTGTTAATCACCCTTTATTTGCTCTCTAGAATGGGATTGATGTTTCAAACAACAAAGTTTGTCCGAAATTTATTTCAGATTATGTCTTTTAACTTTCTGGCATATCTTCAGTTGTTAGGAAATTTTACCCAAGTGTATCTGGGAAATGTTAGAGAAATATTTCATTTTCTAAATTCTGTGGAAATCCTGTTTTAATTGTCCGGAGAAAATATTTCTTTTTTGACGCACTCTTGACTGATCTAATTTGATGCCTCTACCTACATCTAAACCACTAATCTATGCTAATTTGATTCACATTTAAATTCCATGTTTGTTCTTCCTTCAGGCACCATTTGAACATGAATCTCTTCTTGTTGATCGAAAAGATAAAAAACTATCCACTGCAGAGAAAAGGCTGGCTAAACGAAGTTATGAACTTGAAAAGCAAGCCAACACCCGCCCCACTTATAATTTTGTCGGAAATCAGCAAGGTCTTCAAATAAGGTAAGAAAAAAATTGCATAGATTGTGCATTTTCTCTTCTATCATTTTATATTTGTTCTATGTCTTACAAAGTGTTTTAGCATCAGCTACTCTATGTAATCTAAGTGAAAATTTTCCGTATTCTAGCCTCGGTTCACTTGAAAGTTCTCCTTTACCATCCACCAGCCAAATATTTTGTTTACAATTTTGAATTTTCTTCAACCAGCAATTTATTTTCTAAATGGAGAAAAAAAAGTTCTCTTCCCAGTCAGCCTTTAAAAATTGACACCTCCATTAAGTGGTACCATTTTTCGATCGCTGGTGGAGTATCTTTCTACCAGCACCAAAACCTGCGGAAAAAAATAAATTAAGTTCAAGTAAACTTGAAAAAATTAGTGATGAAACAACTGTCATTATTTTACAATGAAATTCACCATTATAAATTCATCAAGCAGTTCAGAATTCAGCATCTTATTGTATGAGAATTGTTGATTATCAAGCTGCAGGCTCACAACAGACTGCTAGACAAGGTCTGAATTAGAGGCAGCACATTTTCCTGTTCAGAATTTTATGTAAAAAATGACTCACTCAATGGGAAGTTCGGAAGTCCTTTTTTACGGAGGGGATGAAAAAATATACATCTTACTTTTATAAAACCTTTAAGCAACTTACACCCTTTTTTATAGCATATTTAATTAAATGTTAATTTTTTCAGATCCATGACGAAACCAATGGCTAGCGTACGTCCGATGCAGTCTGAAAACTCTTTGACAAAAGATGGCAACAGCAAATGGATTCCTGCTGAAGTGTGGCAGAAACAGGGAATGAGTGCTCAAGAGATGACGTTGCCGCTCGGTAAGCATTATGCACAAGCACTTGTAGTTGAAGGGTGTTCAGGGACTGGGAAAGTCAGGGGAAGACTCGCAAACTCCCCTGGAAGATGGCGATTTTTTGCCTAACTTCCTGGCACTCCTATACTGAGCCCCGCGTCACTCTTTGCCAGTCTACAAGTGTATTTCTCCCTTGGAAATTTGATTCCTTGCCGCCCAGAAAATTTTACTAGACACCCTGCAGTTGAGAGAAAATTTGGAATTGGGGACATTCTTGTCCCTGGTCTTTGGGCACTTGGTTGAAGTTTTTGATAAATCCCAACAACACCAGTCTGTCAGCAATTAATAATTTTGTTTACCTGAGAACTCACGACTGTTACGCTCGTTCTTTTTATTTTGTAATTTCTTCTCTTGAAATCATACATGCCATTTGTTAAAGGGTATCAGCCAAGGTAGATATCTTGTGCTCATTTTTTCCGTCTCCAAAGATGGTGGCAGGTGCTGTGACTTTGGTTTGAAACTCACGACTGTCACAAATAGCTGACATTCGATTAGGGAAAACTTTGTTAAAAAAAATATTTGTGAAAAATTTGGACCATATTCATTTCTTGATTCCAGAAACCGTCCAGAATTGAGAAAACACAACTTCCATCGGAAATAATGAACTTGATTTTTCAACTTTTTTCTTCCTGAAACGTCCTCTTTTTGAAATTTTCGCCCAATTGTTCTTCCTGGAACTAGAATTTTGTCATTTTGAGCAAGAATCTTATTTTTAAAATAACACATTTGTAGAAACAAAGAATGAAAAAAATGTTTAGCTTAAATTAACTTTTAATCAGAACACCAATCTGTGAAAATGTCTAATTATACATGTTTCAAACCTCTAAGAAAAACGAAAATAATTGAACCTGTAGTTTTACATCAGAGGAAACTCGAAACAGATGCTCTCCATGTGTTGCATTACAAATCACATTGACTGTCACAAGTCAAGTATGAAAAATTTCACTATTTTCTCTATTTTTTCATTCACTTGTTCCTCCTTTTTCAGATGTTGTTATTCCTACTAACTCTGCAGACCGATCATCGATCGTCCTCAATGCCGGGCAGAAAGTGATGGTTCTGAAAAGCCCAAAAGGAATTTACATGCAACTGGAGAACGGGAAAATTATAGCTATCAGAACAGCATACAAAGTAGGGGCAGGTGGAGCTGCTAACAAAGGGACTGAGAAAAAAGTTTTCCCAGCTCAACCTCAAACGAGGCAAATACCCTTGAATCGACCTCCGTTTGACCGAAATGTCAGGGGTCTCGAAGGGAGGAGAGGTAAGTTTCCAAATCACTTGCAACATCGTTCTCTTTTCCCGTCATTACTTTACTTCTTTTAATTCCTCTTATTTCCAAACTAATGATGCAAGGATAGATCTTGTAAAAATCAACATCTATTCTTGATAGATCTATTCAGGGGTGTAGAAAAAATTGTCCTTTTTAAAGCGACTGGGATCCTCGAATTTTTTCAGGAGTCTCTTTTATCCACTTATTTCAGGAAGTTTTCCCGAAGGTTTTAAGTATGCTTTGACTTGTCGAACTTGAAAGTTCCATTTAGAATTTTTCCATTGGTTAAGCTTTTTTTATGTTTCTGCTATGGAATCGACTCTGTTTTGTTAATTTTGCGCTTGTGTAAAAATGATAATTATTCATCCTCCTCTTTCCTTAGAATTCCCTCTTTTCAATCTTTCTTTTTAGAAAATAGCATTTGGGCACTTCGTAATCCTGCAATCAAAAAGCTTGTGAAGTTTTTCGCTCATCAAAATATGAAAAAAGGGACATCAGTGTTTTTTTACATGAGGCGATTGAATCGAAAAATAATTGTTCTTGGTGTCTCAGCTATGTGGTCTCATGAAATTTCTTAAAGCATTGTCTGAAACTCATTTTCACTCATAATTTGACATTTTAATTTCGTTACAATTATTTTAAACATGAAACTAGCTCTTGTCCAACTTACAGCTTTTGTAATGTAAACATCTTCTGTTTCCAGAAATATCAGTTTCACCAATCAGAGGGAGAGGTCAAGCAGTACCAGGACTTCTTCGCAATAATTCAAGCATCTCCATTACTCCGAGAACGGTTCCTGTCACTCGCAACGTAGCTCCTGGAGCGAAGCACAACGGTGGTCTGATTCGGCTCCTTGGACCGAAAAGCAGAACGACTAATGTAAGACTTCCAGTCATTAAAGATTCCAATGTTTCTGTAACCATTACGAAAAGAAATCCCACCACATCAAACGCTAACTTAGGATCCGGTTCGTTCTCAACACCTCCAAGCTCCGAGCATTTGGAACGAGACTCAAGTTACCACTCACGGCTCGAAACTAAAGCAAAGCAAGTCGAAAGCAAGGGAACCAGTGCTGACTTCTCTGACAACCTAAGTCAGTCTCCAGGCAGTAGTAGCAGTAGCAGCTTTAGCCATCAAATGGAAAGAGCTGATTCAAAATCTGTGGGTACAGAACCTGCAGATTTTAAAGAGTCCGGTGGGCTAAGTCAAGGCACTTGCACTAGTTCCTCGTCTCTAGACAGTATTTATAATGAGCCCACTAAATCAAAGCTAGATGTTAAAATGGCTAGCGAGTCCGTACGGACGAAACTTGGTATCAAGTCTCCTGAATACAAGCATTCCGAAGGGGTGTATCATGAATCGATCAGATCCAAAATTGATATCAAACCTGTGGAAAGGGTGGCTTCTGAACCAGTCCGGACAAAGATAGATATTAAGCCATCAGCTGATTGTAGACCAAAAATCGACATAATCCCATCAAACTACAAACAAATGGATAAAGTCTACTATGAATCCGTTCGTTCAAAAGTTGATGTGAAAGCATCAGACTTCAAGCAAACAGATTCCGCTAGACCAAAAATGGAGATAAAGCAGTCGGAACCTGCCAGGCAAAAAATAGATATGAAAGCCTCTGAATACAGACCGTTGGATAAAATGAAAAACTTGTCATATTCTCAGAGTCAAGCAATTTACCCTCCAGTCAATGAGCGTCCAAGTGGATCTCAAGGAGTAGATAAATCAAAATTCCCCTCGCTCCCTAACATCTCTTTCAATCCGGTCAACACATCACAGAAAAACTATCGGCCCACATCTCATCAGCGGTCCACGCCGGCAATGAACAGTACCTATCGCAACGATATGAACCGGATGCCGGAAACATCACCTGCTCTAGATTTTAAGAAACCGACCTCCACAACCACATTCAACTCTGCCACTTACTCTGGTGGCGTCGTATCAGATCTGCAACAAATGCCGCAACAGTATAAAAACCCCTCGCCGTATTCATCCTCAGAAAAACCGCCTCTCACCAAAGATACCGCTTTTCAGAATTTGAAACAAAGGGGATCGATTAGTATTATTCCGATGGACAAAGGGCCCAAGCCTGCTCAGACCTCTCTTCACAGCCAAACCCATCAGATAGCGTCGGGTACAAATCAGGCATCACAACTCCCTCTCAATCCGGAGTATGATTATCGGTCCATGGACTCAGGCGTTGAATCGTTCTCCTCACCCGCTTATAGATCAGATTATTACTCGGACTACAGTCAGCCGGTTTCATCAGCCCCTGCCTCAAACCCACAGATCTACTCACACCCTAGTGAACGGTCCTCTATGCAGTCGCATTCTGGGTCGTATGACATGTACCAGCAGCCATACTCAAGTGGAAATGTTGATAGCTCGGGGGGTAATGTTGGTAGTTACGGCTCAACTGCGTACAACCAGACTTCTTACGATCCCTCTGCAATGAATCAGCAAATGAACCAACAAATGTACAGTGCCTTTCATAGGCCGGAGCCTATTTACCCCTCCCCACCGTCTGGTTCCTATCAGAACGCAGCTAATTCCTATCAGTACGACCCATACTATACTCCATACCCTGGTGCTCCCGATAATTCTTCTTTGCCAAACCCACAAAGACCACAATGAAGAAGTGGTGCGGTGCGCACTCATTTTTCTTGATTTGATCTCATTCTCATACATGCAAGCAAGTCACTGGTTCATTTGTTCCGATGCGTTTTCACCTACTTAATCTGTATCAGTGTGCATGAGCCTTGTTCAAATTGTGTCTATAATTTTTTTTTTTTTTTTTTTTTTTTAGTATCTTTAATCTATAGCGATTGTTCGGTTTTACACTTCCCAAGTAACAAAACTATTAATGTGGCAAGTGATAAAGCGTTCTGATAAATGTAGGAATGAACCATTAGACAAGGTACGAATTTAAGCATTCTGTTACTTGTTTCCTAACCAAAATTTCTTTCAGAAACCGATTTGCGCAAGGAATATTACTCAAATCAACTCTTTTATAAGATAATAACGGTTTTATTTTACATCGGTCCTAGGAAATTTGAACTCCTCGTTTGCAAGAAAAACAAATACCTACTTCAATCAAATCGCGCACTTAGTTGGTATTGGCAGGTTTCGTAATCAAGCAATGTTCCCTATCAGAATCCTTAAATTCACACCTTGTCTAGTGGTCCAGTTCTACATTAATGAGGATGTTTTACTTCATGTTCCATAGCAAGCTGTGTCGTTTTGGTTGCTAGGTTTGATAACGTACACCGAACAGTGAAATGCTCCTTGTAAATTGCTTTCAAGCCATAAACTCTTGGCTACTTCTGTAAGTAGAATATTTTTTTTTTTTTTTTTTGCTGGTAGGAGAGAGATTATCCTACTCGAGTAGCTTTTCAACAGAACACCCAGTATATTTACTTATTTTTCTTTTCCTTATCCTAGCTCTGGGGAGTTCATCGATAACGTTCCTTATCTTCCTTGCTGCAAATGTAGAAGCAGGGTCCGCGATAATTGCTCTCTGTTTTGCTTTTCCTCTTGAAACTACAAGAGGGGCTAAGCTTTAGCACATTTCATCTGTTACTTTTTTGTTGGCAACTTTAGCATCTTAAAAATCTTTTCAACTGTCCTTATTATTTTATTTTAGCTGGAGTGTTCATTTATCTATTGTATTTCTTCAGATCTAAACTTGCAGTTTTACTCTCGCAACTTTCCTAAGTTTCTTTGTTTTTAGAACCCAGTTATATCATTTATTGTAATTTTTATTTTTTGAGCTTCAGTAACAGTTTGATTTTTAAATGCGAAGTTAAAGTTAGCTCAATAGTTGCAAGCTAATTTTCTGGAGGAAAATATATTCCTGATCAGTTTTACACACATCCAGTTCTTGGCCACTGCTGTCCATATCTCCTCTCAAGAGGCCAATGATCAAACTTTATTTTTTAGCCCTGTTGGTTACTCTTTCCTCTTTCTGGTAGCTTTTAGTAAGTTGTGTCGTCTTTTTTCTTGTAAATGACATCTAATCATTGTTGCTGATCATTGATTTTTATTTCCAATCATGCTGCCGATTGTAGAATAGTTTTATTTTGTTTTAATACATCAGACTAATATGTTTTGTCCACCAGAGCAAGGTTACCTCACACTTTGGCCGAAGTAATCCGGTGAACTGACAATGAGCACTGTCAGTTTGACAAACTAGTTTCTGCTCAGTTTAACTGGCTAAGGTAGTCAAAAAGTGAGATTATACTTTGGCCATACACAGACTGACTGAGAGGAGTTTGCGAGGGAAGTTTGAAGGAAATTCGTCCCTATAGATGAAGTGTGAGGTAAAAGTTCCTTAGTTCCTAATCTCAGTTGTAGGCCCATCAACGACGACAGCCTCTGTAACCAATCATTGCAATTTTTTACTGCCATCCCCTCTTCTCCTTGTTTTCAATTTCCATTGCTGGTGCAACATCGTTATAGTTGTATTTGTTAGCATTTCCAATTTTCATTTTGTGACGGATGTGTTTATTTTCACCTGAATTGCTATCACAAAGAAAATGACAAAAATTTGATATTTCTATTACTCCTCAAGTTACTTGCAACCCACTTTAATGTAGTTGCCTAATAAACAACACCGTAGAAGAGCAATTCATAAGATTTCAGGGAGTGAAAGAAGAACAATTATTTTGGTTCCAAGAAAGAAACAGATAGATTCGAAACTTTTTGACAGCTACAGTGGCACTATTACGTGAAATTTCACTCTCCTAAAAGACATCTTATTTTTCTGTTTTATACCCAAAATATCAAAGTGTCCCGAAGGGGCTGCTCAAGAATTACGTAATGCCTCAAAAGGAGGATGTTGTCTCAGCTATAGTTACTCAGTGTAACAGGGACAGATGAAGTTCAACTCAGTATAATTTAACATTTTTTTCCCAACATAATATCACACAATTTTTTAAAAGTAAGCTGCAATTTTGTATCTCATTCTTATGTTTTTCAATGGCAATAATTGTTATTTTTTCAATCCGTAAAGCAACCCCAACCTTCTACATTAATGAAACGCCTTTTGTGTCGTCCTTGAAAAACTGGAGTAGAGATACAGACAGCTTATAGCCCTCCCATGGTAAGAACTCCTCCCTGAAATTTTGAATGGGTGGCTTTTCTTCTTTTTTTTTTTTGTTCTTCAGTTTAATCATCCTNGGGGGGGGGGGGGGGGGGGGGGGGGGCAGAGGAGACTTCTGAGACTCTACAGTAGGCCATTTTTCCAGGGTAATCTTACTAAGTTTCACAGAGAGTGGGTGAGTGTCAGTAAATGTAACTTTAGTGTCTCGTAAATTATGGTTACTCCCTAAGTCGTGTTTGCTGAGAATGCCACCAAGGTAGTATTGTATTTTGAGCCTTGATATGCCGTTTAAACTCCCTGAGCCTTTCAATTTTGATTTTTAAAATTGAATTTTCTTCGATTCACGATAGTGTTTGTTTCAATTATCGAATTCTCTTGGGTTACAGTCTTGGAGGCTAATTGCATTTAAAAGATTCTAATCTTTAAGTCTCTGTAGACTTTTAGTTTTGCTGTAATAAGCTCAGCAACGGTGCACAACTTGAATGATTGCTTGTCCCTAGGCTACAAATTCACACTTGCTTTTAGGTTTATTACTTAAAAGTAGCCATGAATATGAATAACTTGGCTATGTCATGTGTTATTTTTTCAACTACCTACGTTTTCTCTGGAGCAAGGATATTGTTTTTCATTATTTTATTTCATGTACCCTGTAAGATCCTCTCTCTTCAGTCAAGTGGTGCTGCAGCATAAAATTCAATAATTTTGAATGTGTAAACAGTGTAAATATTCTCTCAAGATTTTGTATGATCAATATTATTTTTATTGTATCGATGGATTGTGTCATTACTTTGAAAGCATGTTCTAACCGAAATTTTGCTCGCTTTCACTATTCCTGAATTCATGAGAATACAGTTTTAATTTTCAAAGAGATTTGAGGAGGGTCCAGCCTAACTCAGTACCTTCAAAACTTTTCTCGTTAATTCGGTTGCTAAATTGCTAATAATTCTCACCTCTACACCAATTGATCGGTGTTCTTTAAGATTCTATAAATGTATCAAGCTGTATATTCTACTGCCAAGAAGGTAACGCTTGGAATTTACATTTTCAAGTTTTACAGCCTCAAATTTTTTTTGAATTCTACACCTTTCCCCTGGCCCCCCATGTTTCTTGAGAGCTCTTTAAAATTAAAACTTGGTGAATAGGCAACTTTGTAACTTGGTGTGCTAAAAGTACTTACCAAATCGAAAAGAAAAATTTTACCCTCTTTTTTTACCTTCTTTATCTGCAAGTTCAAGAAGACGAGAAAAGTATTTTATTTACATTTAAACTTGAAGGTTATTTGTATTACTAGATTTCCCTCTTCGTCTTACTTGCTGAGCAAATTGAATTATGTTTTGTCAGTTTGCACATGCTTTCAATTTTTTCCTGTCAATTTCCAACAAGTTTCCCTCCTAAATGCTTGTTCACCCTTGACTGATCCGGTTTATGTTTATCAAACCCAGAAAGACAGTTTTCTCACACACAACATGAAGAACAAAATTGCATTGCACAGTTCTCAAACAATATGTGAATAATTTAAGTTCATTTTTTTTTTTTTAAAGAACTCCCATACGTATGAAAAAGTTGTTTTTCCTGTTTCTGATTTTAGTAGATTTTCATCTCCTTTTACAAGATTTGTGATTTTTTTTTCAACCCTCATTCTTTCTTTCTTTTGGAGGAGAAGAAATACAAATATAAATTTGAGGGCTTTTATTAGCAGTGTCTTCAACTTGCTTTTCAATATTAGATTACTTTTTTTTGCATCTGCACTTGAACTCAGCTTGCAAATATTAAGTGTGAATATTTTTACATAATGTTAGCACACTTACATCTCATACTGTCTTCTGTAGAAAGACTTCAAAAATTTTCCTCATTTCCTTCTTGTATGACTGTCATTTGTTTGTTTAGATGTTAAGGTCTCCCTGTGTAATTTTATGCCCCAAAGTTTTTTTTTTTTTTATTATTATTATTATTCTTTGGGTTCTCTAAAAAAATTGTCTTGCTTTACAGTCCTAGTCTGAATAAATTCGAATTCTTAAAAGTGTAATTCCAGCCTCTTGAGTTTGGGATTGAAGAAGCAAGAGCTGTAAAACTCTACCTGTTTTGTATGTAGGTATTGCATGATTTTTGTAATTACAGTATTTCTAAGAAAAAGTGAACATTTCTTCTTTTTTTTCTTTCTTTTTTTTATTTAATTATTAAGTGTAATGGAATCTAGGTAGCTTTGTTTTTAACTAAGAAAATTTTATATCTCGTGAAAATGTTAGTGAATGTCTTTTGAATAATTTTTCAAATGGCCCCTGTGATTATTTTAAAATTATTTAGCGTTCATTTTAATTACTTCTCTGTAGATAATTATGAAATTGCATTTAATCAGTGTTTCAATGATATTACATATGTAAATACATCTAATTTTAAAATAAAAAAATGTACAAAATTTTTCAAAATCTTTTTTTGATGATGGAATACTCACATCCTCAGATTGGTGTTTAAAACTCAACTTTGTAGTTGACTAGTGACCCTCTATATTTTAAAGGAGTCCAATGGGAGTCTCTACACATTTAATCATTAACACTTCCACTTTCAGTTATCATTCTCAAAGAGGTTACTTTATTCACAGAAATGATGGCACATTCATGAAATAGTTAGTTAGTTAGTTATTATAATTTTGAGACATTCAGCGACTCAGGCCATTAACGTCTTTACAGATAATTTTGAAAATAGGAGTATAAACGAAAATTTAGATTTTTAAATTCAGAGAGGTGAAGAGTTTTAGAATTTTAGTGGTAATGTGAAAGTATTGATAAGGTAGTACATGTATTGAAACATCATCATCTGAAATTGTTCATACAAATCTTGCATCAGCGTTTTTTCTTATTTCGGCGTTTAAGTTTTCACCCATAAAAAACTGAGTCTCAATCAGAGTAAAAAGAGGAAAATAGCAACAGTAAAGTAAAGAATAAATACTTATTTATTTACTGAATCTACAGATTTTTATCAAATAATAACATCCAACGTACTTAGAAATGTGAATTTAAATACAGCTCCCACCCTTGCCAGCACAGTTCGACAGTGTTAATAAAGAAAGAAAAGTGGGAATTTAGTTAGAGTATCTGTCTCTTTAAACAATTTTTAAAAAAACTTTCTTCTCTAAAAATGATGAAATGAAATCTAATTTAAATTATTTAACAACCTCAGGAAATAACATTCAACGTTTGGCAAAGAAAAGTCATATTACTGCAGCATCATTAAAAGATCGGAGATTCAAAGGTAGAGGTATCAAGAGGTGCTTGCCCTCTATGGGGTAATGTTATCCCCAAACAAGATGTATTCTTAAAGATAGAAATTTGGCACCAACTTGAGCCGCATTTGTTTGAAAATTACACTCAATTATTTTTCATGCTAAAAAATTAACCCATGTACATTTCCATAAAACTAAAAAAATTACTGTGCAAAATGCCAAGTTAATCAATGCTCCATGCGCTGTTGAATAATTCTTAAAAGCAACTTAAGGAAAAGTAGAATAACACATCAAAAATGAAACAAGAAAAAAATGCAAATCTTTGTTGCAGCACTTCTGAAATTCTATTTTTCAGGAGAAGATGACTCATACATTTGGCTCGAAATTTTAGAATGAAAAATTTTCCAAACACAAGGAAAATTCACCTTAAATTCCTGCAAGAACGATGCAACATTATCGTTTAATAGTGAAATATGACATGTAATTCACAGGGTTGTATCAGCAAAACTGTTCTCTCTAGTTTCACGATCCATATTAAGTTGCCTAATTTGGCTGACACTTGAGCAGCACTCAACGTCTGAACTCCAAAACCAAATATCCCTATGGAAAAATTTTATAATTTCCAAGCACAAATATAGTTTACTTTAAAAAAGAAAGATAAATTATTAAGGTTTAAAACTTTTGAAAGTTAGACATGAGAAGAAAAAAAAATTATTAAAATTTTAGGTCAATTTCTAGATTTGTCTTATAATGACAAATAAAGCATGGACAGAAATTTTGAGAAATTAATTCCAGGTATGTAGCTCTAGAAATCAGCCGTTAAGTGCTTTATATATTCTTTATGTCAATTGTCACACCATACAGGGAAATATTTTGATGGCTAAAAAGCAAAACCACATTAGGGTGTATTGAGATTCCTCCTATTTTACTTTTTTGAAGAGAAATAAGCCGATTTCATAGCTTGAAGTTTATAAAGAATATTTAGCTGACAGAGAAGAAAAAATCAAGATAATTTTCAAGAAATTACTGGTTTTTCAGATGGAAAATGAATTATGACTGAAATTCTCTAAAAAACAGATTTTGGATATAATACCATTGATCAGATGTATTTTATAAATGCACTCAAAATACTATCCAGATATGATGGTCATGCGTTTTTTAACAGGATAGATGGGACATTAGGAAAGAGAGTGCCTAAGGACGTAAGAAATTTGAAAATGCGTTAAGAGCTTTGCACACTGCAAGCTACAGAGTGAAATTTAGACTTTTGATGTGCCCATCAACATTTTCGTGAGATTTTACTGCAGAGGTTCTCTTTACATGGCTGTAACTCTTGCGTGCAACAGCACTTTTGGACTAAAGTCTGCAATTAGGAACTCCAATATCTAGCTGAGTTTAGAAACAACATATGTACCAATAGTTTCCCTGAGCACATGCGTCTTTTACAGGTGAGCCAGATATTGTAGTTCCTAGTTGCAAAATGCAGCCCTATTGTTCTTGAACCTAACCATTACACCGTGAAAGAAAACACAAACCTATTTCACAGGAGATTGGAAAAAAATTCTTGAAACTACTGGCATGATTGAGTTCAAGATGAGAAGTTTAGCACAGATAAAAGAATTAGTGATTGTAAAGTAGAAAATTAAAAATTGTTGTGCTTGAACTGGCACCAGTACTTAGGCTTTTTCTTCTTTCTCTTTATTATACCTCTCCAATTCTTTAAGGAACTGCGCTTTGGGTTTCATTACATTAGGTCTATCACCACGGCACTTAGGGCAAAACCATTTGCCCTTTGGTTTAGTAGCTAAAGCAACACATGAAAAATGAAACCACTCAATAGGACACAAATCATTATCACATAGAATCATCTCTCCATAAGAAATTTGATCACAGAGGCAATATGTTGGCTCATCAGGATCGATGGGTATTTCATCCTCCCTTGGAGGCGTTTCTTCCCGTTGCTGTCTTGATTTCCGCTTCTTCTTCTTCCCAGTCGCTTGATTTTTCTTGGTTGCCGTTGCAGTTGCTCGCGGCAAAGGTGTTGTTTGTTCACTGATTGGCTCGATTGGATAACTAGTGTCGACTTCTGTTCTGAGCCTTCGGGGTCGTTTACTTTGTCGCTCTCCGCTTTTGTCAATTTGTTGTACTGGTTGCACTACCGGTGTTTGCTGACTGCTTTCTTTTTCTTTGACATGGTTATCAGTGGTTTCTTGTTCTTTACCAAAATCTAGAAAAAAAAGAGAGAGAATACTTAAAATAAATGCAAACTTTTGCAAATTAAATGCTGTTCTACACAGGGCCATTTTAGCCTGTATGCTGACGAGATCCATAAGAATTTATGTATCTCTAAATGTGGTGACCTAAAACAAGCATTGGGACTCGCTCAACCAAATAAAAGATACCCCTCTACATGGCAGCCAAGACAAAGACAATTCAATCAAATTTAGAGACAAAATCAGGGGTACTCAACAAGGCTAAAAACACTGATGGGACTATAGAAACAAGTTTGCTTTCGAATTTCACATGCAGATAAGTACTTTTACGGATCAGCTGAAAATGGTAGTTCCAAATTGTAACATATAAACCAATTACAAGAGCTAAAATGTTCCTGCTGGAAATCGAGTCATCTTCAGTTGGGTAAAAACAAAAGTTAAACTTCTTAAATAAAAAACTAGTCAACCTGGTACTTAGCATCTTCCAAACAAGAAAAATGAATTATCGACGAAAATTGGACAAATTTATACTAAAAGGAACTATGTCGCATGCAAACTCTATGCAAACTCTCATAGTTCCTTCTTGAAGAAATACGTCCAAATGAAGTATCTTTGGTCCTTCGTTCTAGATTGTCCAAAGCACTTATATTCAATGAGGAATGCTTTTCATTGGATTTTCCTTCAAATCGGTTTTGTTTTTCCTTGAATTTTTGTCTGTTCTTGAGACTTCTTGGGTTTTAGTAGCATTTTAGTTTGACCTGGGATATGATTTGCAATGTCTCTGCTTTGTATGTTGGGAATTTTCGATAATAGCTCTTGAAAAATATTCTATGGTTTCCTTAAAAAGCGTACTTTTGGATGCTTCAAAATGGACTTCTCAACTCACAAGGCTTCTCAGGTGGCATTTGCAGAATGAATTGCGAGGAAGGTCCATTTTCTAACTGATCAGTCGCTTCTCAATAGAGGACCGACAGATGAGTTCCCTTTGTTAGATTGTGAATTTTCTGCACCCCTCCACTCATGAAACTAAACGTGCTACTTACCAGAGCCTAAATTGTGATAATCTATTTCGAGTTGCCTTGATTTGTTTTCGATAAGATCTTGAAGTTGCTGGACTAGCTGGAGTTTCTGATCTCCAAGTTCCTGTGCTTGGATCAATGCAGTTTGTACTCGCAAAATGTTTCGTCTCCTTGAATCTTTTTGGCTTGCGTCAAAACTTGATAACTGCTCCACATCTCGAAGCACATCTGCAAAACAAGATTGAACATCATTTATTGGAAAGAATGGTTCAGAGACATTAAAACAGGGACGCCCTGAGAATGAATTAGATACCAGGCGAATCCTCTCATCAGCAACCCCCTCCCCTTCACGGATGAACTTTTGTGGGCATTTCCTATAGGGGAGGAGGGAGGTCCTGACAATTCTTGAAACAATACCTAGGAAGTGATGCCGAGGGTGAATGTTTTAGCGAATTAGGGTGGAGAGTTAATGAACCAACAAAATTTGGAAGAAAATGGAAAATTAATGAATTTGATTTGCCAAGAATAGGCAGGAAAAAACTTTAACATCTATCTTACGATTTTTATCAGACAGGGCTAAAAAAATTTCTTGGCCTTTCCATTCAAAACCCCTTTAGACTCAGAAACTGTGACATGATGACCTATTGTAAGAAGAACTTGACGTGACGATTTTCATGATTTTGCTAAAAAAATGATTTTCACCTCAAAATGCCAAATAATAAGCAACTTGTAAAGTAAGTAACCTTGCTGGCTTTTCTACTCTCACATAAAACCAATTAAAAATTCGAGAGGTTTCTGCGCCCCTGTTTTCAGGTGCAACAGAGATTTGTAAGTTTTTCTCTGGAGATTGCATCAATTTGGATTTATGAATTAACCTGTGCAGATTGTTAAAAATAGTAATTGTTGGATTTTCAGAAACAATTGAGACTTTAAAGTTGAGATTTGATGAAAGATAGTTCCTACATTTAATAGAGTGTTTCAATGCAGGTTAAATGTATATTTCATGATCTGAATCGAAAGTGCGCGCAGATGCCTTCATCTGAACACTATTGCAATATGATCTCAGATGAAAACAGGTTTGACGCGACCCCGTTTAAGAGATCTCAAAGTTCTCATCAAAACTCACAAATAAATGCTGAATTCTGGTCTCAATGAAAATTTAAGCGGATCTGCATCTTCTGGACAACACTTCCTCAAGGCCTTAAAATCATATGCTTTGCTTTCAACCCGGGTCCATAAGAAGGTACACTTTCCAGATCCAAATCCAGCCAGAAATGATGAGGTAATGATATGGATCAAGAGTCCATGAAAGCTATATTCTGTAACTCCCATCGATAGCTGCGCATTAAGCTGCTAGTATGAACGAAATTAAAGAATGTCTGTCACACATGATACAAAAACGTATCATCTGTGATAGTAGACTTTGCCTTGAGAGATATTCTGAAGTTGGGTTCCAGTGTTATAACCACAGACAGGTTGTTTCTGAAATAGTGGCATTAGGCTTACTAGAGAGAAGAAATGGAACAAAAGTATATACCTTGGTAGACTACATCCAGCTCTCGCATGCGAGTAAGATACCTCTGGAGATCGTCTGGAAGATTCTCTACGCAGTCTAAGTAATCTTCAACATAAGTAGCTGAATATAATGCATCAACCATGGCTTGATTTAGCATTTTTGGACCTTAAACTAAACTGAAAGCATGGTTACGTGTGAAATTTGTACACAAAATCCATGAATTATAGAGAAGACCAGACAACTTCTCTCACCGAAGAGTGCACTGTTCACTGTCCCTATTTCCCATCATTGTTAGAGGTAACGGTACAAGTTAACACTTCTTAGGATGATGCGCGAACGTAATTCGAATAACTAATGCGATTAAACGATGGAAAGTTGTAAAAGTAGCTTAATTTCAGGGAAATTAAGTTGGACGTTCAAATACAGACACGGTTTAACAGCTGACTCGTTTTCGGACGATCTCGGGTGACTGATACTGATGTAAACAATGCGCCTAAAAAGAACTGCTAAACCCAAAAGACATTCAGTCATTTTGACCGCTTTTCAAAGAAAAAAAACTTCTACAAGTTTCCAGATGATTTAAATAACTTCTAGTTCTGTAAAATTGAAAAAATTTCATGATCCGATTGAATTTGGAAAATTATATGCTGTTTATGTGCTTGGATATTTATAAAAATCTTTTTTTGTTAGAAGAAGCTGTCTTGAGTATAGCAGACCGTGCTTTTCCTGAGTTTTCCAGACCAATAGGAAACGTTTGAAGTGATCCATCGAACCAATCAGAGACACGGATTAATTTAAACTTTATCGGAACTAAAAAAACCGCCAACTATATCCCCCCTCCATTATCTTACCCGTTTTGAGGTTAGGTATGTGATAATAATAAAGAGTGTCGCCCGCTTATCGTCTTATCATCCGCGGAGTTTCGTGCTAATATTTCGGTGACTAATTTCGTACTCTATTTTCGAGCATTATTTCGCAGTGTTGGAAAACACCTGTAACGTTCAACGATGACTTCGACTGGATTCAATATCGGATTGGGAGACCTGAAAAGGAACACTAGCAAGTAAGAATCCGAATCCATTTTTTCCGAGTTCGTTTCTTTCTACTTTTAATTTATCCTCAATTCTCTGTTTTTCCTCTTATTTATTTCAGGTCTTAGCTTCAGTCTGCAGTGTTCATAACCTTCCGCAAACTCTCAATTTTCCCGTATTAGGTAGCACTCGCGGATCTGTCGGTTTACACAGCTGGTAAGCTGGTTCAAACTGGTAATAACCAGTCTCTGTTCCCGCTCTGTGCTAGGGCAACGTTCTGCGCCGTGCGTCGCACACTGATACAAAACGGCCGAATAACCGGAATATTTCCAGGAAACTTAAAATCGATTCAAAACGCGAATATGATGGATGAATGCAAGCTTAATGTCCCCTCTGTGAGACGATAGATAATTGCAACCATCCACTGCTTCGATGCAGAAGTTGTCATTCAAAAGCGTCAGATAAGATCATGAAAAAAGGAACGTCATCATTATGAACGCAACTTTTTGGTACCACTACTCGTAATTACTCGCCCAATCCTCAATTCACAGAATGGTTAATTTGACGCACAGTCTGAAAGCTCCAGGAACAGTTCTAGTTGTCTAATGGAATCATCGAACCGGCACGAGATGTCACGGAGGTTTCAAACGCAAAGCCATGTGGGCTATATTATGTAAATTAGATTCTAACCAACAGCAGAGAACATCAGAACAAACATTACTGTAATCTTGTAGACCTTTTCGAAGCTTTTTGGATCCCCATCAAAACATCTGACAAACACGGGAATGCTGGGACCCTGCAGACGGAGTAAGTATTGAAATTTTTTGTTTGTTAGGGGGACATAGATGACATAGGTTAAATGGCGCTAAAAGTGTGATTGGTCGGCTACATCTTATTGCTGTTTTGTCATACCTACTTATGTCTGGTAGAATTGAGGAAAAGTCAAAGGCTCCTCTTAAGCTTCTAATAGCATGTCGTCAATTCTACCCGACATAGGCACAACAAAGCAGCAACAAGACATAGCTGACCAATTACGCCATGCCATCTATGTCTGCCCAATGTACACAAAATTTCAATAATCGGCCTGTTGGACAGCTCTTAGTGAGTGGAGTGGAAATTCAAAACCTGGTAAGTGGCACCAGGTTATTGCTAAAATTATGCATGTCTTCCAGCAGCATGAAAGAGCCTAAATGCCTCCCTTCGAGGAAATTTTTTCTAAATTTTCCTCTTATACTGCCCAATCATAGCAACACCTAATGGCACTGATCAGGTTTTGAACTTTCGCTCTTTCTTATGAAAAAGAAAAAAGTCACACTTCTTTTAAGTTATAGTGCGGCTTTCACATGAATATCTCAGTCTCGCATAGTTCAATGAAAATATTCTCAGGTTTTAAAGTTACTTCCTTATTTCTTCCATTATATCGCCAGATCAGAGGCTATACTTAATCCACAATTATTCGGAAGAAGAATGGGGAAACTTTTCTGACAAGCTCGTTTCCACACCACCTTAGGAGAGCCCGATCAGGTAGATCGGACTGCTGTTTCTGGACGTAAAGCTCTCGGTGCGTTTTTTATAACGTGGTATCGCCAGGAGCTCTAATCCACAGGGGGAGCGAAAAAGAAATGGGGAGGAAAAAAAAAATGAACACTTACCAACGCTGACGCAGCTCCATCTATCACTTCTCCATGCCGTTTTTGATACTGCTAAATAGCAGCTGCACCCGCAAAAGACGGAATCGGTCAAATCAACTATGCTGCTAAAGAAAAACGCCGTATGAGCTTTCAGACGTTGCCAAATTTGCCTTTTTAAAACACAAATTTCCTAGGGAACTTATGAATATTTTCCATCTAATTTTTCAGAATATTTTGTTCGCAATTTCACCTGAAGTTTCTGAAAATTTCAAGGAAAAAGATTCATAACTTTTCTCAAAAATAAACATTTTAACGAAGAAAAGTTGACAACTCTCGAATGTTCATAGGGCGTTCTTCCCTAGCACGGCAGTATGGAATGGAACCTGCATATTGGACGAAAAAGAGTTGAGAAATCATCCCATATCTCCTTTTAAGCTTCTCTTGAGCTTAGGAGTTGGTCTCAAAGAAAGGCAGCGGCAGCATCGTGTTTTTCGCGGGATTTTCGATCGGACACTCACATTGCAAATTTTCGTGGCATGCAAGATGTCCATCGGCTGAAATTCTACGAGTTTACACCGAGTAGCATAGATACTTGAGGAACATGAATAATTGCTCCGACAACTAAGTGGAGTCTTCGTAATGTAAGAGCGCCTTCAAGTTTTCAATATGCAACACGCCCATCCGTGGAGTGCGATTAGTTGCATCGCGCAAGGCATCACTATCAACTCACAATCAGTGTGGACATCGTCGACAATCTAGGAGTGAAAACATGTTTAAGGAAGGCGCCGCCAGTTGGACGGCTTATAGTATAGCCGGCAGGGGAGGGTATGGATTCGATCAACATGAATCGATCGAAAAATAAGTACGTGTCTCGATCGATTCAAGGGTTTTTCGATCGACTCCACACCGGCTTTATAATCATTTGTCTATCGCACCGGTGTGATCGGTTCACAGCGATCGATTGAGGTGATTCGTCAAGCTTCAGTGACGTGGTCGAACTGGCTTTCCATATGTCGCATCGATTAGGTAAAAAATCTCGGCAGATTTTGAATTATTAGCCAAGAAAAGGACGAAAGCCCCTGCGCATGAGCCTAAAGAATAATTCTAAACCCAAAATTCAGAGAAATAAAAGCAGAATAGTGTCAGGGAAAAAACCTCACATTCGGACAGTTGTTGATTTCTGTATCGATGACGAAGTTTTGTTTTCCTAACGCTACTCTGCTTTCATTGCTCTGAAATTTGCTGATCTTTGGGTTGAGCCTAAAGAATCATTCTAAACCCAAAAATTGGCAAAATTCAGAACAATGACAGCAGACTAGTGTTAAGAAAAAAACCTCTCATTTGAAACAGTAATCAATAACTATCCGAATGTGAGGTTTTTCCCCTGACACTATTCTGCTTTCATTAGTCTGAATTTTGCTAACTTTTGGGTTTATGGCAGGGGCTATCGTCCTTTTTTCGGCTAAAAATTCAAAATCTGCCGAGATTTTTTACCTAAACGATACGGAACAATCGCAAGCCAGTTCGACCACGTCACTTGAGCTTGACGAATCACCTGAACGTTCTTATTTTTCGGTGGGTTATCGTGTCGATCGAATCCGTAGCCTCGACGCGACGGGGAGGTGGGAGGTCCTCGGTTGTTTCGTAACATCTCTCCCGGTCCCGGTTCCTTTATCCCGAGTTGACGCAACGACGAGGACGTCGGACGACGTGGAATCCGGGATGCTCGACGGTGCCGGTGGACGGCGGACGTGACCCCTGGCGTCGCGCTGTGGTGCTACGGTGTCGGAAAAGTAAAAGGTTTCCAAGGCTAACTTTCTTCCGATTGTGTGTATCATCCGGCCTGGAACATCACCGTAGGAGAATCCGGATGTTGCACGATTTCAACCGATTTAATGTCATGGAGTCGCAGTGGAAAAAAAACACATTGAATCCAGAGTCCGGACTCTAGAAAACATTGACAAGAAAAAATACTCTTGAAACAATCAGATTTTTGCTTACATCAAAAGGAAATTCGCTCAAATTAAGAGGCTTGGTTCTCGATCCAAGCAAAAATCCGATTGAATCAAGAGTAGTTTTTCTTGTCGATGTTTTTAAGAGTCTGGACTCTAGATCCAATGTGTTTTTTTTCCAGTGCGGGTAAAATTCGCTTTGAAGTGGAAATTCAAATCGTTAACTAAAGAAAAAACTCTAGCCGTGGAAGCTGTATTTACGAGCTATTTAAACGTAACGTCCGCGTCCCGGGCTTAGCACCCGGAGCAATTGAAGCTACGGCTCCAGCACCCGGAACTCTCGGCCTCAGAGCCTGGAACGGAGGTATACGTCTATGTAGCTCGTAACTTTAAAGAAGAAAATTCATGAGTTGTACAAGTACTTTGATTTCTCTAAGTACAATAGGAAGAAATTTTGCAACCTCTAAATTTTCACACGGTTTTTTTTTTTTTTTTTTTTTTTTTTTTTGAAAATTTTGTAAAATAACTTCATAACTCGGGAAAACATTAAGTGGAATTTATATCGTGTGAACTGCACGAAATAAACCCGGATCATGTGTATATTTTAAATGTAGTTTTAACTTTGACGGATTCGTCCTGTATTTCCTATTTCTCTGTTTACTTTTTACGCTACAGGTGGAAAAGTGTAGGTAACGGAAAAATATCCACAAGTTTTATACGAGGATGAACATCTTTAAGAAAAAATGTGGCAACCACCAAATTTCAGCACGACGCTTCTTCAATAAATTTAACAAAATAAACTATTAATATCTCGTAAAAAATTGAAGTGGCACTGATACGTCGAGAAACCTCAGGAGAATTCCTGAA